GGGGACCTGCTTGCCCAGTGTCTTCTTCGCCCCAGGCAGCTGGGCTTTCCCTGCCCGGTCCTCTCCAAGCTGCCATCGCTTGCTTTTCATCTGGTTCCAGCAGTGGCGTTCCTGGGCTACAAAGGGAACTTTCCACTCAGTGCCAGTGGTTGTGGGAAAGCCCCTTCCCCAGTATCCCTGAAGGTTTTCTGGGATGTTCCTGGGAAGTGGCTGCCCCTTAGGTAACAACAACTAAAATAAACTTCTCAGCAGACCTTGCGTTCTACTCAGATTTTTACTGTTTTAACGTTACACCTTATGAAAGGGTTGGCAATGGCTATAGTATTACAGCTTTAAATTAATCTAGATGATCTAGACCAATTCTGTGATGCAACAGGGTCTCTATCCTTTAAAACTAGCAAATCACCAGTGGAAACAGTTTGCTTCGTTGGGGTGATTTGTTATTTCTGTGGTTTGAAGTCATGGACACAGCAACGGGCAGCTAGAGCTGAAAGTTTATGGATATGAAAAAAAATATATGAAAAAAACTCTGAAATTGCAAATAGCTTAGGATGACTGCATGCATTATAAGCAATAGCCTTGCAACAGTCACCAGCAATCACAAGTGCAATAATATGTTGTGCAAGCACTGAACAGGAGAATTCCACATACCACAGAGCTTATAAAAAAGACTGGGTGAAAGGGAGAAGGGAGGCTAAGTATGGCGAGAATAGTGTGATAGCTAGTTGAAAGAAAAGGGAAAACAGGTAAAGAAGTTTTCTTGCAATCTCCCTAGGATGGGAGGGAAAAGGAAGTGTAGAAGGGAGAAAATAGTACTGCTTTGCTGGACTCTGCTGGATGAGTTGCAGAATGTCCCTGCTATGGCTGCAGTGAGAAAGCTGTACTAGCCTGGGAGTACACTACATGAAATAGCCATAGAGCAGAGCTAGTCCTGGTGCCAAGAACTGTTTCACCAGTTGGATTAACTGCCTTTCTCAATAGCAGTATGCACGAAAAGCCCCATCTGAATAAAGCCTGCACCAAGCTAAGTAAGAGAATCCTGCTGCTGGAAACAATGTGTTGGTGAGGGCTGTATTTTTCTGAATACAGAAAGAAATATAAACCACAGAAATACTCTCAGGAATGAGAATGCAGAACAAAATGTCAGGTCTGATAAAGAAAAAAGTTCAGAATTAAATCAGAGCAAAACGTCTACTGACTATTGACTTACATCAATAAAGGACTACAGACACAGACACTAAGTCAATAACCTTTTAAAACCTTTAAGCTGCTTTCTAGGTGGTATTGGGAACAAAATGTTATATTCAGAAGAGATGCTGCAAGCAAAGACAAAAATAAAAATTATTGTAAATTACTTCCTCATATCTTGGTTATATAGACCATTAAGTGGCAATAGAGCAGTGTCAATTTGTACTAACTTCTGCCATTAATAGCAGATGAAAATGTGGTTCTAATTTTACCCATCATTTATGATGTGCTGGTAATTAAGAAATATCATAGCTTAAAATAATTTTCTAATTCAGTAACTTTTCTTCTACCCTTTTATCTGAGTTCAGAGTGAATGAAAGAATTTAAATGGTCACCATTTAAAACTTTAACCAAGTTCTGTGAAGAGTATTAGATTTATTTTTCAAGTCTGAAACTTTTTACAGAAGCATGATCTTTCTGAAATGGAAGTAGCAGTTCTTAACAGTGTTTGTCAAACAGCTTTGCAGGGGCAAGGAGCCCACATATATATCCAGGGTTTATGAACTTTCCTAAGCACAACCCACAGGCGTTTGGAGCCCATTTTGACTGTTCTAGAGCCTTCTTTCACTTTTCTGCTCACCCTTTCCATCCTACAGCAAACTCAGATCAATTAGTTTTAAATTTTACCTTTGTTGCAGGGCATTCCTACAAAATCATTAGCTCAGGTCTCAAATGTCTCTCTTCATTAAATGAGATGCTGCAAGGAAGTTAAGTTACTGTGAAGAAGCCTGTGCCACCTTTTCAGTGAAGAGGACTAGAATTACTAATGCATTGTGACGCAGAGCTTTGGTCAGATTTTCAGCTAGAATAAAAAATGTTGACCCCACAAACATTATTTTTATTTTTGGTTAATTTCTAATATGCTCTGAAGTACTGGTTTTATTTCAGACTGTGGTCTAATTCTCACCACACTTACCCAGATAACGCTCAGCAGATTCTCTTTGTAAAAGTTAAAGACATTATATGAAAGCAATAGGCATTTGGAAGAAAAACATGGTTCTTTTAGGACAGTGTATCCTGTTTATTCCTAAAATTGAACTGTCTTAGCTTCCTTGCGTGTGAAGCTATAATGACAACTAAAAAGGAAGTATCAGGTACCCATTATAATAATCAGTCTGCATGCATACCAAACCTGTGATTATAATTTGGAGGTTAAGTGATCACACCATAGAAAATCTGGAAATATTATACAGAATTTGTTCAAACTTAATTACGACAAGTCATTAAAGCAAGTTCTGAGGGGGAGGAGGGGAAAAAGGAGGCAATGAAAAGAAATTGCAGTTGTTCATACTGTTGTATAAGGTAAAATCACTCTCAAGTGCATCTAATTATGGCAGTGAAATGGTAAAGAAAGGAAGAGTAGGGGAAAAAGCAAGGGATAAACTTGAAAAGAAGTAAACCATTACTATAGGAAGGGGAAAGGGAAACAAAACAGGTATATGGCTTTCTTAAATCTTCGTGTTTTCTGCTAGATGCTGCACAAAGGTTGATGTTGTCCTTGGACAGCCATTTCTGGTTTCTTCCTTGGTTCCACATGAGCTGTCTGCACTCTGTGACAACATCTGGAAGGACTTTAATGAGGTGAATGAAGGGTAGTGCTGAGAAGGTACAGCCAGAACTGGCACATCAGCCAGACCTGGAACTACAGCATGACCACAGTGGCATGCTGATTGCCCTCATTTCTGGCTTTCACAGTGAATGTAATTGTTAAAATCTGTTAATTGTATTCCTCACAACTTGAGTCTTTTGATTCTGTAGTACTCTGTCCTTTTAAACCCAAAAAGTAACTAATAGAAGAACAAACCTCCCCAAACAAATGCCCTTTCCATGCACCATTATTGCAGAGGAAGTTTAAAAATGCAACTAAAGTATAAACAGAGAATCTAAAAGGCCTGACAGAAAAGAATTCAACACTGCTCTGCTCTTTTAGATCTTGTGGGTTTGGTTTGTTTTATTAATTTGAGACCCTGATTTCTGACTTTTCAACCATAAATTAAGAGAGTGTTGGTAACAAAGTACTGCTGTCCTTCCTTGTTCCCCTCACAGTGGAGGAAGGGGAAGAAGGGGAAGATAGGACAAGGGGAAATGGGTACAAACTGGAACACAAGAGGTTCCACTTAAACTTGAGAAGAAACTTCTTCTCAGTGAGGGTGACGGAACACTGGAACAGGCTGCCCAGGGAGGTTGTGGAGTCTCCTTCTTTGGAGACATTCAAAACCCACCTGGACATGTTCCTGTGTAACCTTATCTAGGCGTTCCTGCTCCGGCAGGGGGATTGGACTAGATGATCTTTTGAGGTCCCTTCCAATCTCTAACATACTGTGATACTGTGATACAGTGTGCTGCCCAGCCCTGCCAACTGTCTTAGAACTGAACAGCCCAATCACATAGTTCACACCACCTAAGGACTGTCAGCCTCCAGTCTATCAAATGCAGGAGTTACTTAATTAGAATTATTTATATTTTGGTAAGCGTCAGAGTGTGGATATTCCTGTTCTGGCTCTAGGATGCTTAGTGTCTGATTTGTGCAAAGGCGGATTGTGCCCACCTTCATTTCCTCAGCACAGCTGCTGCCTGGTCTACCCAGCTATCATCCCCTGTGCTCGCCATTGTTTATTCTTGGATGGTCATAGCAGGGCTGCTCTGGTGCCTGTGATTAGCCAGAGCACAGCATTTCTTCTATGGTGCACTAAAGGGGAAAAATGTATATCCTGACCCTACTCACACAGAGAAATCATTTCCAACTGATTATTTCCTAGTGACCATGTCCGTGTCACTCAGTTCACTCCTCTGAGATGTCTGACATGTCAGAGAGCACCAGCACTTTCACTAGATGTAGTTGGTAGGACTGTGCCACTGGGGAGAGTGACAGACCAGTGACAATCACTCAGCCTCTAACAAAAGCCCAAGCTCTGAGAGAGGTGCTGGGCCTGTTTACTCTCCTTTTATTACTGTCAATCAGAAAGTAAGTTAATAAACATAGAAAGACTTCAGAAAAAGCCCATTTTGTTTGTAAAATAAAAAAGGAAAGATGGATAATTCACAGATAATGTTAGTTACAAATCTCCACTGACTGTAATACTTTTCATCACTGTGAATTGGTCTGAGCAAATCTTGCTGTATTGATACACAAGGATTAGTTAACACTGTTCACCTCTAACATAAAATAGTGTTACTCTGAGAGTATGCATAACTGAAGAAGGCTGGAATAGTTGCAGTTAAAGCCAGCATGATTTTTCGCAATTTTTATGCTGTTTATTTGCAGGTTGCATTCAATACTATGGTATTATACTTCTCATAATTACTCCGTAAACCAGATACTTCATGTAGGCATCTCATGAAATGCCTTACAGAAAAAAAGAAATAGTTTCCTGATCCTTTTCTCTGCCACACACTCCTAATCATTTTAAACCTGTTTCAGCAGTCATTTACTACATGACTAGCCCCCAGTCAGCAGCTAAATTACTTGTGAAGCTGTTTGTGAAAGTTAATGTTTTCTGCATTCAAAGGCAAAATGTTGCCTTGTTTGTCTTGATAAATTGTAGGAGGGCAAGTCAGTCTTAACAGAGGAGAGGGGATAAAATCACGGCCACATTTCTCCTTGTGCTTCCCTGAACCTCTCCTGGGCGATTCAGTCTTACCTGATTTCTAGTGCCCTGTCTTTTGGAGAAATAAATCTATGCCTTGAGTGTGCAAGGCACTCAGTTAATTTTCTTGATTCAACATTTTATTGTGAAAGAAAATAATTGCTGTTTGCTGAACAGAATAAAAATCTGTATTCTTTTTAATCTAGAGAGGTTTTATTTCCTCATTCTTTGCTGCTCCTGGGACCCACCAAAAGAGGAGGTTTACAGCAACATCTAAGGCTGGTCAGACTCAGACAGTGGTCCGATGGTCTCTGAAAGTTTGTTGTACAGTGAAATTCTTGCCTGGAACAAGAATTGGATTATATAGACATCAAAGCTTCTAGAAAGTTTGATCACTTCTTTTGCACCATAACACACATGAAATCTGGTAAACTGCACTGTTCCAGAAAAGCAGAAACACCTTAGTGACTTGTAGGTCTCAATTCAATATTTAGTGTATCTTCAATTCAATCTATTAATTACAATGGATGTTAGGGATAAGTCCTGCTCACTGGCATCTGTTGCTAAATAGGAGCCAACATAATATCTGAAGTCAGGGCTGATGTGCTTGTGCTTCTAGCTAAGATCATGCAGAAGGTGAGGAGGTACATTTTGGGTCAACTGGAATACTTTAACACACATGAAATCTGGTAATCTGCACTGTTCCAGAAAAGCAGAAACACCTTAGTGACTTGTAGGTCTCAATTCAATATTTAGTGTATCTTCAATTCAATCTATTAATTACAATGGATGTTAGGGATAAGTCCTGCTCACTGGCATCTGTTGCTAAATAGGAGCCAACATAATATCTGAAGTCAGGGCTGATGTGCTTGTGCTTCTAGCTAAGATCATGCAGAAGGTGAGGAGGTACATTTTGGGTCAACTGGAATACTTTGTCATCAGTAACCTCTTCCTCAGATGGGAGCAGGTCCCAAAAGCCCTGTTTAAATGTGCATCCCACAGAAGGAGGAAGAGGCAAAGCTCATGCAATGCAAAGGTGTAAGGTGATACTATCACGACCGAAGTGCCACCACGCTGTTAGCCAAGCCTAGCAAGCTTGGCAAACGGGGCTGTTTCTGTGCTCAGCTGACAAACGAGGGCATGAATGGGAAGTGGGAACGTTGTCAAGTCTCCTACTACTTAACATATTTTGGAGAATGCACAGCTGAGATATGTGGAGGGAGGTCAGTAGGCCAATATGCATCTTTTTACTGTCTGGATTTGTGGCAAGAACTGCAACAAATGCACGTGCTCTGAGGGAAATTATAAGTAAAATGAAGAAAGGAATATGAAACCTACATGCTTTTCTTCACTTGCTACCTTTTGCTGGCAACTGCTTATAGAGATCTTGTCTACTCTGTGCATATTACTCACTTGCAGCTATTACTGGCAGGAGCTAATTCAGAGTACCTTAGTGTGTCAAGAGAATTACTGGCAGCAGATGGATATCATAAGCTGAGATGAAAGGCAATGATGGCCTGGTATTACACTAAGTGGGCAGAGCTAAGGGATTACTCTAAAAGGCATTTAAAGCAGAAGTGAATTCAACAGTGTGATATGAAGAAATATATATAGAACAAAGGCCATAGCTGCCCATGTGCTTACATCATACTGGCAGGAGGTAAACTGGCAACTGATTTGACCTAAGCGCTGTATTTTCCGAAGGGTGTCTTTATAAGTAGCTCTTCACTACTAAATATCAGAGGGACTTGTAGATTTCACAAATTTATCTGAGAAAAAAATAAAGAAGAAAAATGGGAAATATGAGGGTGGGGGACTCCTTTTTTTTTTTTTTCCATTTTCGTAAAATAGCTGATTTATTATTAGATATTATTAGCTTATTATTCATGCTTAATGTGGAAGTTCTGAAAAGGGTGTTCATAATCCTTTTGATTTAGGTACTCGTATATGCTATTACGTACTGGAAACAGCCAGGATGATAAACTCTGTTTTCTGCAACAGATATGAGGGCAATCCTGTAAGGAAAGAGGAATGTTTGAACTCTGACTTCATTTGAATTTGCAGCAGGCTCTTTTAAAGCATTATTCAGAACATGCAGCTGCCACTCTTCGCTGGACCTAAGCCTGTCCTTCTCAGGACTTCTGGTATGGGCAAGAACACAGATACCGGTCTGATTATGTTCTGAGCAGGTCATAAAACTGCTGTCTGCCTTTCTTTCCTGAAAGCATCAAGCAAAGGCGTTCCCCCTCTTGTGGTGTCAAATGTAATTCCACCGGAAATGTTGAATTCTGTTTCCATGACTGCACACTCGCTGAAACAGACAAGATATTTCTCCTAAGATAGCAAGTTACTTTAATTTGCAGGTGTCCTTATGTGATGGCGTGGTTTGGGAAAAAGCAATGGCTAATCAGAAATAAGGTAATATCACCATAATGAGCATATTTTCACCTGGGCACAAACTATGCCGTTGCCAGCAGGTTCTGAAGTTTTTTTGTGGTATTGTAGAAGCACATCTAAAGGGGTCAGATGTCGTGTTCAGCAGTTTGTCCTTGAAATTCTGGTCATTACCATTAAATTTGCCTTTCTTCTATTTCACTGACTCTTTGCACTTCCTCTCTAAAGAGGAAGGATTTATTACAGTTTTAAAGCAGTGCATGTTCCTTTCTTTTTTTATGATTTCCGCATGTAGAAAAATCAGAAAAAGCTCCCTTACACAGCCCCAAGGAAGTTTATTTCCAGTCTAAACTCTCTTTGTTCTCTCTCCACCAGGTGTGGCTCACAGTTGGTTTTGGCTCTGTAAAATGGACATTTCTGAGCACTATGTAAATATATTGCTGAATTAATCTTTTTTCTATTTGTATGCTGAAATGTACTCAGTTCCATCACTTGCCAGGCAGCACATTTTAGGTGATCAGCTCTTTAAACACCTACTAATTTGTACTGTGTTTTTTATTGCATGAACTGGTTAATTCTCATTTATTCTTTCTGTTAGAAGAGGCTTGAGTTACGAAGGTTTGCTTTACTGTTGACTCCTATTTTAAAACCATTGTGATGTAAACCAGATTCCTCTCCCTTCCTTTGCCTCTTATATGGACCTTTTTAGGTAGTTAACCATTTCAGCAGCCCACTCATCTTTCATGTTTTTCAGTGACATCAATTACATTAAATGTGTGTTCCCAAAGAAGTATTTCTAATTCCTTGTGCTTATAACCCATGCTCCTGATGTACAAAGAAGGTTTTCCACCTTTACTGTGTGGCATATTCTTTAGGTTTGAATTTTATATTTTCCTCATTTGCCTTTTGCAATACATAAATAAATAAATGACTTTAGAGCTTTTGAGCCATTGTAAACTTGTAGCACTTCACATAGTTGCTTCGCTGCCACTCCTCATGAGTCAAAAATAAATCCTACAGAAAAAGAAAAAAGGAAAGGTTTACAAAATGTGGTAGCTTATCAGCTGAAAGAACATGGACTTGACAGATCTAGTACTACAGATTCAAAGATGGTGCAATAATACTTCTAAAGTTCCTGTTAAACAATGAAGGTAAATTTCAAGAGAAAGTATTTAGGAAGTATATTCAGTTTCAAGTCACAAGTGTGGCAAAGGCACTTTGTCCTACAGCAGAGCTGTGACCTGGCGCAGTGTCAGGTACATCTCTTGGGCTGTTTCAACATTTCAGTATCCTCCTCCTACCAAATGTGTGAAGGCACTTCCTCACCTCTGTAGCCAGGGAGCACAAACAGCTCTTATGGTTCTTCTGGCTCATACAAAGCCCAGACAGATTCAAATTTTCTGTGGCTGCTAGTCTTTCCTCTTTCAGTGCCAATTTCTGTTTTCCTTTACTGACACAGAAATGGAAATCTGATACCAGTTTTTTGGGTTTTTTTTTAATTCAAAAAACTGTGATTCTTCATAAAAATCAAGACTCCTGTATTTTCTTGATTCCTAAAGAAGAGCTAGTGCTAAGCCCAAGTACTATACTGTCCCAGCTCTTGGTCCTGAAAGACCCTCCCCCAGCTCTGCATGTGGGCTGTTCTCCATGGTCTCTTGTCCTTGCCTCCTATCAGGCTCCCATTACACATTGCAGTGCAGCCTGCACCTCCACAGTCTCTGTCTTCCAAAGGCTTCCATAGTTATCCATACCCCACTCCCACCACGGAGATGCCAGCTGACAAACTAGGCATCCTCTAACAGCCTCCCCTAATGTTTTGTTATGTAATGACAAGATACTTAGCATGGATGCCAAAAACACTCTGAAAAGTAAAACTGTTTATTGTTTGACTGCATGGTTGAGCATCCATAAAAAATGTGATAAATGTGTTTAGCCAAGCAGAAAGTGTTTGGGTAAAGAATTGCTCATAACTGCAGTGAGAAAGAGTCCCACCTGGAATAACTAGAAACTTTTCTTTCACAAATGCTTATTTTGTTGTGTTATAGAGAATAAATATAAGAGTTAGTTATATTCTCATTCCTCTCCTGGCAAACCAACTTGCGAGAGGTAAGACAGGGCTAATTGCATTCACAGTACTATTTTTATGCTTTAAAACCACACAACTACAGCATTTGTAGAATCAAATGTTTATTTATTTAAACACTTCAGCAGCTATGACTTGCTTTAGATATTTGACAACTTACAGGTATATTTGTAAGGAGTGAAAAATCAACAAACACATTAACATTTCTCATTCCATAAAGAATTTCAATAAAGTTATTTACACTTATAGCCTTGCATCTGACCACTACTTTCCTCCTGTCCAAAAAGACAGAAAATGAATGAGTTGTGCATCATGCCCAGAGAGTTAACAGATTCCTGCAAAAACAGATTTTGGCAAAAAAAAAAAAAAAAAAAAGAAAAAGAAAGAAGTTGCTTAGCTCAGAATTCTCTATGGAAATGGTCTTTGTCTGTAGCCCTTATTATACTAATCACTTAGGAACTTTGGTCCTGCAAGGAAGAACTTCAGAGGATGATACTATGCTGTCTTGGTGTGACACACAGCTCAGCACCAAGCATGACTTTGAACTCTGTGGAAGCAAAGACTGTCATGTATATTTTCGTACTGACTTGCAGGGTTTGTACTCTTTGTGCCCTGATACAGTCTGGGACTGTGGCTCTGTTGTTAACCAGTGCTTTGTGAGAGATGGGGCAAAAAGGCAGTATTTCTGTACAGTCGTAGAGCAGGATCAAAATGGTGCTGTACTGTAAAAGGCATGTGGTGTGTGTGTGGAGTACATACGAATGTTCTTATCTGGGCAAACTAAACTACACCCTAGGTCTTCTTTCCTCTTTGTCTTGTGATTATGATACTGAAGTGATTTTAGAGCTCAAAAGTGGTGGCTTTCAAAAAGCAAAGCATGCTTCTCTGATATCTTCGTGTTTAGCTTAATTTAGTGCATTTTTATTGTTCATATTTTGTATCAAACAAAAACCCCACTGAAAGGAAACTGCTACAGCAGATGACATTGAAATGCAAATATAAGGTTTCACAGGAGCCCAGTCAGCAACCACTGCATTGGAGATGCATGAAATTACAATCCTGCAAATTACTTCGCAAAATAGGGAACAAATGAAGGGAGGTTTAAGTAGCAACGATTACCTATTCCATTGCTCCTTTTCTGGGCAGACATCAATAAAAGACAATAATGCTAGAAGCTACAGGGACTTGTACAAGATTAAATTACATTAATTGGTGTTAACTGAATGGGAATGTTGAAATTAAAATTAGAAACAATGTATGCTATACTCAAATATAATTGCAGAAAGGAAGTACACCTTACCAACAAGGATAACAAACACTACTACACATCAGCAAACCATACTAGAGCTGGAGCAGCTGTTTTTTTATGGCCCAGGTTGCAGGGCTAATGGCTTTTTTTAAATGACAGTTATTGTCTCTTCCATTTCAGGGCACTAAGAATTAGGACTCATTGCACATTCTTGTGTGCTACACTGAAAAACCCAATGTTCAAGAGATCGATCCTAGTTTTTAACTGCCTTTTTCTTCCACAGCACCCACTGCTGCGTGCACTTGTCCAGTGCACATGCCTGTGCTGGGTGGTGTGCAACAGGCACTCAGGTGACAGAAAGACCTGGCAGCCAGTGCTGGAGGCTCTTTGCATGCTCAGTAGAAGACCTGCAGGTTACTTTGCCAGCAGGAGCTGGTGAGGCCTGAAAGGGCTGGGCAGGGGCTCAAGGGATTTTGTAAACATCGACAGTTTTTAATTTCGCTTTGCGAATTCCCGCAGTAAGTTTCACTCTGGAAAAAATCAACTAATAATATGTTGACTTAAAGCATGTCTACCGGTTTGAATTATGACATTTTTCCATTTTCCAGGATTTAATGATATCTTTATAAGTATACTGTGGCTTCTACTTCCTAACTCAGGTTTTGAATCTTGAAAACATATAGTCTGTGTTTTGTTAAATTTGTCTATTTGTTTGTTAGGATCATGACGAGACCTAATACTTTTTCTTACGATTTTGTGATTAATGTACTATCTAGCACTTATCTGCTGATAAATGTTGGTTCATACAGTGCTGTATAGTTTCAAAGTATTACATGGTACGTCACTATTAACAGTTTTTTTAAAAACATCCTGTAAAACAGAGTGGTTTCTAAAACAAGCACAAATTAATGGGCATCAAACTGATGCATAGTACAGTGGTTAGTGCTTTAGTATAACTGAACACATGGGGAGACCTTCAGAAGATAAAAATTACTCCAGATAGGAAATGTCAAGGCACAACTCTCAATGTCAAGGCAGGTCTATTTATTCTTAGCTGTTGTAGGTTCCATGTCTATGTCCGACAGAGCACAGTAGCAGAGCATCTGAACATACTTTGTTGTTGTAGCTGTAATAGCAAAAATGTGTGAGACAAAGTTATAATATATCTTAGACAAATACGTGGATTTTGAGGATTTGAAAGCACTACACAGATATTAGGAAAATCTGAAAATACCTTAATCAATTGGATAAAGCACGTTATAAATAGCTAAAGGCAAAAGAAGCTCAATAATTAAACAGAAAGTTGTGTTTAATCAGACTTTCATCAACATCTCCATTAAACTGTTGGATTGATAGCTGAGTTTGAACTGCATAAAAATCTTAAAGTTTTATTTCTCGAGACTGCCTGAATTTGAGGAGTGGAAACTACCCTTCAGGCCAACAATTCATTATTTCATAATTTACGAAAATACACATACTCCACTGATGCAGATATTCCATTCCTTGGACAGGAAGTGAAGTGGTGGTGTTCTGGTATTTCTGCCTTCCAGGGTATCAACCTGCATGCATTTAGTACTCACAATCCTACCTTTCTACTTTTCTCGAGCCAACATGTTGAAATGGCTCAACACCACAAATATTAGATGACCATATTGCATCCACATATTGGATGGTTTTGAACAGGTGTGGATGCTTTTGTTCTCAGGACCATGTGACGAAGCAAACAGTCTCAGACATGCCACATACAAAAGTGTAGCAAATCTTCATAAAGAAAAAGGATTCTAGGAAAAACTGTTATTTCTTACTTTTGAGCAAGCATTCAAAGTCTCAGCACACTAAGTAGGACAAGAAGATGTTATCCACTGAGTGGACAAGGACTTGGCTGGATAGTTGCATCAAAGAGTTGTGGTTAAAGGCCCAGTGTTCAACTGGAGACAGGTAACAAGTGGTGTCCCTCAGGGGTCAGTGTTGGGACTGATCCTGCTCAATGTCTTTCTTAGAGACATGAACAGTGGGATTGAGTGCGCCCTCAGCAAATCTGCTGATGACACTAGGCACTGTGGTGCAGTGAACGCACTGGAGGGTGGGGATGACATCCAGAGGTACATGGAGAGGTTTGAGAAGTGGGCCTGTGCAAATCCCATGAAGCTCAACTAAGCAAACTGCAAAGTCCTGCACCTGGGTTGGGGCAATCCCAAGCACAAATACAGCCCAGGAGAAGACTGGATTGAGGGCAGCCTTGAGGAGAAGGACTTGAAGGTGTTCACTGACGAGAAACTGAACCTGACCCATTAAGTATACTTGCAGCCCAGAAAGCCAACCATGTCCTGGGTTGCATCAAAAGGACCGTGACCAGTAGGTCAAAGGAGGCGATCCTGCCCCTCTACTCTGCTCCTGAGACACCCCCTGGAGTACTGTGTACAGTTCTGGTGTCCTCAGCACAAGAGGGATGTGTACCTGCTTGAGTGAGTGCAGAGGAGGGTGATGAAGATGATGAGAGGGCTGGAGCATCTCTCCTGTGAAGAGAGGCTGAGAGAGCTGGGCTTGTTCAGTCTGGAGAAGAGAAGGCTCCAGGGAAACCTTATAGCAGCTTCCAGTACCTAGAGGGGGGCTATAGGAAATCTGCAGAGGTACTTTTTGCAAGGGCATGTAGGGATAAGAAAAGGGGAAGTGGCTTTAAACTCAAAGAGAATGTACTTAGATTTAGATATTATGAAGAAATTGTTCTCAGTGAGGGTGGTGTGGCACTGGCACAGGCTGCCCAGAGAAGCTGTGGATGCCCCATCCCTGGCAGTGTTCAAGGCCAGGTTGGACGGGGCTTTGAGGAACCTGGTCTAGTGGAGGGTGTCCTTAGACACAGAGGGGTTGGAACTAAATGATCTTTAAGGTCCCTCCCAACCCAAACCATGCTATGATTCTATGTTGCTTACCAGAGAGCCACTGTAGACATTTAGGTCGTTTTTCAACTGGCAGATAGACTCCTAAATAATATGCAGGAACGCCTGAGAGGGCAATACCAATGCCAATAAGGGAACTGATTGTGTCGCTGTAGAGAGGAACTATGACCAGGAAAAGGGAACATAAACAGTATACTATAGGGAAGAAGAGGCTAAGCTGTGGAGACAAAAAAAAAAAAATAAAAAAATCCAACATTCATTAAAAGATGCAGTAAAAATATCAGGTTTTGTAGATTAGACATGTCAATAATAAAAATATAGCTATTGACTATATTATGTACTGAAACTTTTATTGCCTACAGTCAGTACAATTTGCTAGCTTATGTGTATGGTGCTGAGAGCCTTTTACTTGGTACACATGTGGGTATCTGACCATTTTGTTGCTTTCAGGCCTGTACAAGCTGAATTTCTTTCCAGTTCGTAAGAGAGTGATCTTTGAAAGCAGTGCTTTATAACTGAGCAGTAATGGGTAGTTTTCCCTCTAACTTCAATTGCAAATTTTTAATTGTAAATTTTGTTGGTTTTTATTTTATCAGTATTGGCATGTTGATGCTACAGAACTAATGGACTGATTTACAACCATTTCTCCTGGGCACTTAACAAATATCATACCACAAGTAAGGAAAGTTGCAATAACCTCTATGGATTTGGTTTGCACTAAAATACTTTTCATTGCCTGTAGTAATGAGCCTTCTCAAGAGTCCAGGAGTTGACATGTGAACACTAGCTGAGACTCTTGGGTGTTTAATGGTATAAATAACTCTTTTTCCTTATAAAGGTTAAAAATGTAAGTCAATGAAAACCAACTGCTATGCTTCAGAAAAACAAAAGGTGTATGTGGAGTTGGGACATTGACTAAACTGGCAAATGCTGATAGGAATTAAACAGTCATTGTCTATAATCTGACTGTAATCCTTGCCTTAGTAGAGTCAGTAGCAAAACTGCCAGTAAAGCAAGATTTAACCTCTGTCTTAACCATACATGGGGGGAGAGTTGGGAAGTGAAATATGAACATACTTCAGGAAAATTTGGTCTGCTCTGGAAGAGTGGAATCTTGTAGCAGTAGGTGCTTAGGAAATTTTATGTCTGTGAACCATGTGGGTTTTATAATCAGGATGCTACACTTAAATGGAAAAGAAATGTGTTGGTAATAATGATTCCCAAGGTTTGGAAGTGAGAGTGACAAGGAAGAAATATTTAGATTGCCTATTAATTTGGATTTCTCATAAATTTTGCTGCATCACTGCTGCGTCAAAATGCAGGTCATGGAGCCAACAGAGTGCAGTGAAATGGAAGCCAGCATGTGATTTTGTGTGCCTGGGGAAAGCTGTGCATTTCCCTCCCTGCTTCTTGGACAATCACTGTATTAAAACTAGAAACAAGTTTTAGGCACACTTTGTTTCTTTGCCAGGTGCTCTTCTACAGTTAGTCATAAATCTTGCATTTTACTGTCTATGACCACTACGCAGGGGTAGGGAACAATCAAAATATATTTGATTATTCAAGCTTTTGAACTTTTGCATGAGCAGAAATTTGGGCATTTATGGGCTTTGGATTTTGATAAATTTGTTAAGTCATGTAATTTTGATCAGAGTGTTAACCTCTCTAGAGCCTGCATCAATAGCTCTACTGAGCTCCTCTACTGAGCAATAAAAAAGGGGGTTGATTCAGATGGGCTAAGAACCCCAGGCCTTATTTATTTTGACATAAAGATAGCTGTAAGGTTGAACAAAAGGAAAAGGAAATGGCAAATATCATTTCAACCTCACAGCAAAAGTACCAGAACAGATGTTCTTCTGGAAACTCAAATGGTGTTTGCTCCTTCATTCCTTATCTTCTATGTTGAAAGGATTTCTATGGCTGATAAATAGTCTGTAACTGAACTGGCAATGTTATGGTTGTGATATTATAGATCACATAAACACATGCATTAACTGGCTTTTAGGGCTTGTTTCCTCTCTTGTTTACTTACTTTGATAGGCCGGGGTCGATGTGGCTGAGTGTATCTCAAATATATTAGTCCTGCAATAGACAGACCCACAAAAAGCCAGTAGTTGAAGCAGTAGTAATTAATGAGGAGGAAAACGTCTTCCACAAAGAGATAAATCAAAGTCATTAAGCCCTAGAGATAATAAAAACAAAGACTTTTTAATGTGAAAATAAAGAGGTAGTAAAGTTATTAAAGGGCTGTTTCCAACATATTTTTCTGGACATAGGACATCAAGTCCTTGTACTTAAAACTCAGAAATCTGCAAATATTCTGTGTGAAACATGCTGGTATCTCTTCCTTAAACACAGCAGTGACACCACCACATTTGGCTGAAGAGATGTCAGGTTTGTTATGTTTCAGCACCAACAGAAAACCCTCCTAAGAGGGCTGGGTGAGGAGCCCCAGACTATGAGATTGCAACTTTTAGTAAATTATGTGGCGTCAAATAGGACTGGTATGGTAATGTATTCATTAGCCATATGTAACAGAGGGCAACAAAAGACACCAAATAATATATATGTTCAAATAAACAGCAGTGAAATGCTTTGGAATGATTCTACCTTCTCTGTTTGCACACATCATCCCCCTTATTTTAATCTGCTAGATATATGAACAATTTATTAAAATAATTTGCAGTAATTCTATACCTTATTATTCCTCAGTTTGGTGTAATTTATTGTATAGTGACAGCAGGAAAAATGTCAATATGGCTACAGGTATCTGACAACAGGAATTTAATTTTAAGTACATTGTCACTCCTGTTGTAACAAGAGTTCTAGAAAACCAGCCTATGGCAGGATCTGAGCTATTCCTGTTGTATTCTTCTCCAGAGGCACTGAAAACTCACATAAAGGCTTATACAACTCATGTGCTTACTGTTATATATTTAGCCATTCTCTGTTTTCTATTGTACTTCCTCCTCACTAATCTTGTTCAGAGAGCATATGAACGTACATCAAGCCATTCACTTTCCGCTGGAAAAACCCTGCCAGATAAAATACCACCACCGCTACCCCCCTCAGTGAGCTTTAGATATTGTGGGCATTTGAGGAAGGTGTCTCCAGTGCAGGAGAAGCCCAGGAAGAGAGGAGGTGTTATACTCCCTGTGTCCGAATGTCTGGTTGCCCCAGCCAGGCACAGGTCTGGGCTGTCACTTACATTGAAGAGAAGAGCAGGGACTGGTGTGAAGCACTTTACATGAATCAAGCTCAGACTGTCAGGGAGGTGTCCTTCTCTGGCTCCAACATAAAATAGCCTAAAAAAAAAAAAAAAAAGAAAGCTTAACCAGACAGTGTTGCTTTCTGACAAAGGCAGCATTCATTCTTTTATTAATCTATTGTAAATGCTGTTCTCTTCTCAAGTGGCTTTAGTTTATCAGTTGGTGCTGACCATGAGAAGCCGTGTCAGATTGTAACAATCCTTCCATCATAAATGAACTGCCTGACATGGAAAAAATTAACTGTTACTTTTACACTTTACTGTGTAGTAAAGAATGCAGATTAATAATAAATGATTCCTTTTCAATTAGCTAAAATAAATCTTGTATTTCATACCTAGATGCTGCAATTATTGATGAGTTTAAGCCACTATAGCAAGACATGGCCACTGCTATAGGAATTATCCACTTAGCATAACTAAGGGTTTCACCACCAAACGTCTGTAAACAGAAAAAGGAAATAATAGTGAGGCCTCTCATATTAAGCATATGGGTAATCCTAAAATACTCTCATGAAAACACACCCCACCAAATACTGTGTCATAGTCCATCCTTTCTTATGACACCCAATAATGGCTTGGGAAATTAGAATTTGGAAAACCTGATCAGTATCAAAATAGAAATGGCAGATATATTAAAAAAGGATTTAAACCCCCCCAACATTTCTAAGCCCAGATCAAGTCAATGATGTAATAGAAGAAAATGTATTTGCTTTAACCTATTCTGACAAATAATGGCTGTAGTAATCCATGAGTTATAATTGTACTCTTGTATAAAATATTGGTAAAGTTTTAAAAAGCATTTCATTGCACCTTTTTGTGTTGAAAATATTGCTGTGATCTTGCAGCATGAAACATCACACACTATACATTAGAATGATAGCAAAACCACCCAGACTTTGCATAGCTCTTTCCCTCTCTGGCCTTAGCGAAGCGTCTTCTACAATGAAGTACTGTTAGGAGCAGAATTTGCAGAGTATACAAGAGGCTTTTTACAAGAGCAGATTTATCTTTACATGCACCTGCCAATATACCGGTACTCTTACATGAAAATGAAGTTTAAAACAAAGCAATAATCATCAGCATAGAAATATTTCAATAGTTTTGCCAAGAAGTGTGCTACCTGAGGTTTTTATGCAGTGTCATCCATACAGTAACTTTCTTAATTATTTTATACAACTTACCACAGCCACTGCATCACTCGTGAGGAGAGCCGACATGTCCAACACTACATAGTATGCTATGTTAGTCAACAAATAAATAACAGTCACAATAGGCATTGAAATTGCAATAGAAAGAGGTAGATTCCTGCAAAAGGAAAGTGGTGTAATTATTTCTTATTCTTTAAATAAAGAATATTTAAGTAGAATTGTTCCCAAATTCAAACATTTGTGAATGGATACCTCCGTAACGTTTTGTACTACATCAGTTTGTAATCATGGGGTTACAAAATAACGTGCAGCCATGTGTGGAACAATTCCGTAAGCAACATAGTTGGCTGCTGTGGGTCTGTCACAAGCTTCAGAGAAAGAAAAGTACATTTATACCTTTAAATTGCATATGAAGCAATTTAACAGTGCACTTAAGCAATGAGATTTAAGTGCACACTTGAGGGGCAGAGATATTTCCAGTGCTACTTGTGGACTTTTTCTTTTTTACTTAACCTTTCAAACTTAGCAAAATTAAACATTTTGCCCATAAACAAGTAATGATGAAGATCACATGATAAAACAGGCATAAAACCGATAGAGTCTTACTCTATTAGTGGCAAAACCAGTCCTGGAAAAAAATTGTTCTGTCTGACTGAAAAGAAGTAGGGAATTTCATGGGGCTGTATGGATCCATGATTTTCTCTGCTTTTCAAAGGGATTTGTTCTCTTTAAAAATTGCCATCTGAAGTATAGCATGTAAAAATACATATATGCAGACAAGTGATTTATTAGTGTGGTATAGCTGGTAAGTGAGGAAGTAATCAGAAAGGGTTCTCGTACTTCTTCTTTTCAAGAGGAGAAGGTTTTTACAGAGAAAATAGTTTGAGAAATTTCCACTCAGAAACAAACAGAGAGCAGCTGGTCCTGCCATCTCACCTGGCTTACCAGGACACTTCAGCAATACAAAGGAAAAGCATGCTTTTACCTCTCAGGATTCTGCATTTCCTCAGTGACATAGTTGAGGGTGTCCCATCCTGAGTAGGAGAAGAGGGCAGAGTGGAGAGCCAGAGCAATCATCCCTGGGTTTGTTGCTGAGCCCTCAAATGGGGCTCTCAGGTTTTCTGTTTCTCCTGTGCAAATGACAAGTGCCTCTTAGATTTCAAGGATTATGACATAGAAGGATGCTACAGTAAGTCTCAGCTAACCAAAAGGAAATAAAAGCCCACTTCATCCAGGCTTCATTACTACTTGTAAAAGGGCACAGCTTGTATTTTCACTTGACATGTAGGAAATTTTCAGTCAGACTGTCAGACAGCTGCTCTTGTACAGGAAGACAGCAGAAGATATTTTCCCATGTTTTATTATTTGGATAATTCTACCAGAACTCACAGCGTGCTCATCTCCTGGCATCACTGTCTAGCCTACAGAAGGAGGGAGCCACACTGAAGTCATGCTATATGCCCTGTCAGCCAGGCAGAGGCACTCCTGGAAACCCAGTTTCAGTTCCTGAATCTGTCTCATATTTCTTCCTCATATCTGTGCTCATATCCTGGAGGCATAGTTCTCAGTGGCATGCTCTGTCCCACAAAGGAGCTTATAAAAGTAAAAGGAGGAGACTTGCTTTCCTTTCAAAATTCTCCTCTAATTTAGCTCAATTGGTTGAGATGAAAACCTGCTGCAAAATAGACAAAATGTTAATGAATCTGTGTGAGCCTTCACTATGATTCTGGAAAGGGGCGGAAAGGCTTTACTGAGTTTGCAAGAAGGAAAATCAGCTATCTAATGTAACTGAAAGTGAGTTAAATATTAAGAAACACAGAAACATGCTTAAACCTATATTAAGGAAGGAAGTAAGGTCTTTGTTGTAAAATGAAACAACTTCACTTTGTGGTTAAACTAGGGAGGTTATAAATACCATGAAAGCAACTCAGTCTTTGAAAAGCAGCAACTACAAGGAGACTGTTCAAATCGAGGAAGGTGAAACTATGAGATGTACACACTTTGCAGGAGAAAATGATTGGAAGGAAAAAAAATAAAATCCAAAAGGACCAAGAAAACTGTTTTGTTTTGTTTTTTTCACCAAAGACAGTTCATATTCAACATCAGATACATTGTAAGTATTCAGTGTTTTCAAACAAGAGGCGCAACTGAGCACAGCAGAACAATATGTCATGGCTAAAATGTCATAACTGTTCTTTTCTTTAAAAAAGCTGCTGAGTCTCAGAGTGCATTGACCTGATCACAGCTTCCTCCAGAAGTCTACATCATTCCTCTTTCCAGGCCTTTCTGTATTTAAGTGCTCTGTTCTGCTTAAAGAAAGCAGAGATGAGACCTTGACTACCAGTAAAAACCCTCAGCATTTTGTGTTCCTCAGACTAATGTTTTCTCTCTGCCCTTACCCTCCCTCATCCCATGAAGCAATGCGAAGGAACTAGTCTGGGCTGTATGGATGCAGGAGTAGAGGGAATGGCCCCTTGGCCAAGCTGCATCCTGGCAGCTGCATGCCAGCAAGCAGGCTGGAGGTTTTGAGGGACACAATTTGGAAGCATAGGTAAATTTATGACTCTGGAGACAGGACATCATGGGCTCACACTTTTGTAAAACTGCAGCAGCTTCATGAGGGCAACTACTCAGCCACGGTCCAGGAGGTTCCTCCAGTGTATGGATGATAACTTCCTCATGCAAATGGTGGATGAGCCAACCAGGAGAGGTGCGCTGCTGGATCTCATCCTCACTAACAAGGAGGGTCTGGTTGAAGGAGTGAAGGTTGAGGGCTGCCTTGGTTGCAGCGACCACGAGATGGTAGAATTCAGGATCTTGTGTGGTAGGGTCAGTAGAATAGCAAGTAGAATCGCAACCCTGGACTTTAGCAGGGCAAACTTTGGCCTCTTCAAGCGATTGCTAGGGGAAATCCAGTGGGCTAGGCTGCTTGAAGGGAAAGGGGCCCAAGATAGTTGGTTGACGTTCAAGGACTGCTTTTTCCGAGCTCAAGATCGGAGCATCCCGACACGTAGGAAGTCGAGGAAGAGGGTCAGGAGACCTGCGTGGTTAAATAGGGAATTGCTCGGTATGCTCAAGTGGAAGAGGAGAGTTTACAGGTCATGGAAAGAAGGGCTGGCCACTTGGGAAGAATATAAGGCTGCTGCTAGAGGATGTAGGAAAGCTGCTAGGATGGCTAAGGCCTCCTTGGAATTAAAGCTGGCGAGAGGGGTCAAGGACAGCAGAAAGAGCTTTTTCAAATACATGGCAGGTAAAACTAACACCAGAGGCAATGTAGGCCCGCTGATGAACGGGACGGGTGCCCTGGTGACAGAAGATACAGAGATGGCAGAGTTACTGAATGACTTCTTTGTCTCTGTCTACTCTGCTGGAGGCAGTCCTGAAGAGCCCTGTACCGCTGAGACCCCGGATGAAGATAGGTCAACGGAGCGGTCTGCCTTAGTTGATGAGGAATGGGTTAAAGACCAGTTGAGCAATCTGGATATCCATAAATCCATGGGTCCAGATGGGATGCACCCGCGGGTGCTGAGGGAACTGGCTGAGGTCATTGCTAGACCGCTCTCCATCATCTTTACCAAGTCTTGGGAAACGGGAGAGGTGCCTGAGGACTGGAGGAAAGCAAATGTCACTCCTGTCTTCAAAAAGGGCAAGAAGGAGGACCCGGGTAACTATAGACCGGTTAGCCTCACCTCCGTTCCTGGGAAAGTGATGGAACACCTTATCCTTGGTGCCATCTTAAGGCATATCAAGGATAAGAGGGTTATGAGGGGCAGTCAACATGGCTTCACCAAGGGGAAGTCGTGCTTGACCAATCTCGTAGCCTTTTATGAGGAAATAACACAGTGGATGGATGATGGCAGAGCAGTGGATGTGGTCTACCTCGACTTCAGCAAAGCGTTTGACACAGTCTCCCACAGCATCCTTGCGGCTAAATTGAGGAAGTGTGGTCTGGATGATCGGGTAGTGAGGTGGACTGTGAACTGGCTGAAGGAGAGAAGCCAGAGAGTTGTAGTCTATGGGGCGGAGTCTAGTTGGAGGCCTGTATCTAGTGGAGTGCCTCAAGGGTCGGTACTGGGACCAGTATTATTTAATATCTTCATCAACGATTTAGATGAGGGAATTGAGTGTACTATCAGCAAGTTTGCTGATGACACTAAGCTGGGAGGGGTGGCCGACACGCCAGAAGGCTGTGCTGCCATCCAGAGGGACCTGGACAGGCTGGAGAGCTGGGCGGGGAATAACTTGATGAAATATAACAAGGGAAAGTGTAGAGTCCTGCATCTGGGCAGGAACAACCCCAGGTTCCAGTATAGGCTGGGGAACGACCTGTTAGAGAGCAGTGTAGGGGAGAGGGACCTGGGGGTCCTGGTGGACGACAGGGTGACCATGAGCCGACACTGTGCCCTTGTGGCCAAGAAGGCCAATGGCATCCTGGGTTGTATTAGAAGGGGGGTGGTTAGTAGGTCGAGAGAGGTCCTCCTTCCCCTCTACTCTGCCCTGGTGAGACCTCATCTGGAATATTGTGTCCAGTTCTGGGCCCCTCAGTTTAAGAAGGACAGGGACCTGCTGGAGAGAGTCCAGCGCAGGGCAACTAAGATGATTAAGGGAGTGGAGCATCTCCCTTATGAGGAAAGACTGAGGGAGCTGGGTCTCTATAGTTTGGAGAAGAGGAGATTAAGGGGTGACCTTATTAGTGTATATAAATATATAAAGGGGGAGTGTCACGAGGATGGAGCCAGGCTCTTCTCAGTGGCAAACAATGAAAGGACAAGGGGTAATGGGTACAAATTGGAGCACAAGAGGTTCCACTTAAACCTGAGAAGAAACTTCTTCTCAGTGAGGGTGACGGAACACTGGAACAGGCTGCCCAGGGAGGTTGTGGAATCTCCTTCTTTGGAGACATTCAAGACCCGCCTGGACACGTTCCTGTGTAACCTTATCTAGGTGTTCCTGCTCCGGCAGGGGGATTGGACTAGATGATCTTTTGAGGTCCCTTCCAATCTCTAACCTACTGTGATACTGTGATACTCCTTCATGGAACTGTGCGTCTTCATGCCTTTAGGACAGTTCATTTGTTTGGGTTTCTTTAGACTTGAACAAACTGGTGACAACCAACATGCACAGATAATGGCTAAACAAAAAAGCTGTTTTAAAAGCTGTTGAAGCATTAAAGCGTAACAGCTAATGCAACTGCAGCCAAGGAAAGGAGAAAGACAGCAAACATGGAAAAGTAAGCATGCTTCTAAAGTCTTATAAGCTAGTTTCAGCAGTAGAAAACAACAATTCCTGATGTGAAGAGGGGAACCATCCTTATTTCAATTGAATAGAATGGCTATTTGGCAATTTCATGGGAAAGGAAAATGAAAAAACCTTAGCAGCTGAACAAGAGAGCTGGAGTTGGAAGAGACTTCCCTGTACCAGAGGCCCAAATCTATAGAAGCAAATCTAGTGTCATATGCAAAGATCAGAGGTAGCACAGGAATAAACTATTTTCAAGCGTTTCAGTGTATTCAGCTCAGTGCAATTACGGCTGAGATGAGGTGGCTCATCTGTCCTGTGATGTCTTACAATACCACAGTGATTCATATCACAGGTTTATCTCTAGATTCTAGAAACATGCACATCTCTTTGCCAATGAAGGCAAGGACATGTGCCTCCCTTCCTTGTGCTCACCCCTTGCAGGCTGCTGCAGTGCCTCTCTGGCATGGGTGCACCAGGGGCTGTGGTGTGAGGAGCAATGGAAAGGATGTGCCTGGCAACTTCTGCAGTGTTTTCCTGTTATAGGACAAGTAGCAACACTTGTGTTTAATCAACACGAGTCAGAGACACACAGCACTAAACTGATGTTAATTCAGCTGCTATTTGCTATTCAACTTGAGTGATGCAGAACTTGGTATGTGGTCTTCCATCCACACAAAGGTAGAATAAAAATCAACACCCCATTGCTTAACAAACCAAAACATTTCTGTAATTTTCCTATGACAGGCAGGGCTTTTTTTTTTTTTTTCTTTCCAGAAAAAAACCCAACATTTGATTACATAAGTCTGATCTTCCTGCACTGATTTTGAAATTTGTATACAGTTTAAGAATGTAAGTAAATTAAAATGATTCTTACCTTTACCAATTTTGTAAAGGCCAACAGATATCACCAAGAAAAGGGCCATAACTTTTGCGTAAGTGAAAACATCTTGTACACGGGTTCCCCACTTTACATTGACACAATTAATAAATGTTAAGGAACCTACAGAGAAAAAGAATATGCATGAGAGGAGCATATGCACCCACTTGTGAAAAGGTAAGAAGGTAAAGGACCCTGAGAGCTACCAACCTGTCAGACTCTCCTCTGTGCCTGGGAAGATCATGGAACAGATCCTCCTAGAAGCTATGCTAAGGCACATGGTGGATGGGGAGGTGATTTGTGACAGCCAGTGTGACTGATGAGAAGCTGGACATGAGCCAGCAATGTGCACTCACAGCCTAGAAAGCCAATGTATCCTGGGCTGCATCAAAAGGAGTGTGAGCAGCAGGTCAAGTGAGGTGATTCTGCCCCTCTACTCTGCTTTCACGAGACCCCACCTGGACTACTGCCTCCATGGAAAATTACTTACCCTTTTGGAAGTTTTTGCTGTGTTGTACAGTTTAAGCCATTTTTAAGCACAGCCTCAAAGGAACTCATATCCTAGATTGACAAATCCATATTTATAAGGAAAATACTTTGAGTGCAGTCCATCTACTAGGGGACATATTTGTAATGCTTATCCCTGTGTTCACCTAAAACATACAGTCACAATAAAGTCAACTTTGTGGAGTGTCTGATTAAACTACACAATTTCTCTAGAGACAACACTCATATTAGGCAGAGTATTTTTAATTCCATATGAGTTTTACAATGTATTTTTTTTTTCCATTTTTTGTGATTTGCAAGAAATACAGGAGGGAGAGCATGGACCAAATGTGGGCTGCCAATTAGGCCAATGATCCATAGAGATATATGTGTCTTTAATCAGCAGTCACAGTTTTCCCCAGCCAAATTGTTGTAATTCACCTCCCTCCTCTAGTAATCACAGCTCCAAATACAATCTGTCTGAATAAAAGATTATTAGTTCTTAGGAACTTGTTTTAGAGGGGCAATAATTATTTTCCATAATAGCAGGTGAAGGAAAAGAAATTCAGAAAAATCTCCCTGAGTATCTCTGAGTACCTACAATTATAGCTCTTAACTTCTAGGAATCATAACTTTACTTACATATACAAGCAGCTGCAATCAACCTGCCTGCTTCATATGGTGGCTCGCAATGAGGAAAAATTGGTTGAACAATATAGTTGGCAAACGTGATTGCTATCACTGCCTGAGTTGTTGGTTCAATAATTAGCAAGGAAGACCAGAGTCTGATGAAGGCCACAAAGCCACCAAATGCTTCCAAAATATAGGCATAACTGGCTCCAGATTTAATGATGGATGTTCCCAATTCAGCATAACACAAAGCTCCGAACAGTGAAAATATCCCACCAAGCACCCAGATGACTAGGGAGAGTCCATAGGAAGCACTGTACATTAGAACACCTCTGGGTGATACAAATATCCCAGAGCCAATCATGTTCCCTACAATTAAAGAAACTCCATTTAGCAATGTGATTTCTTTTTTCATCTGCATTTTTTCACTTGTCTCTTCCATGCTGTCCATTTCAGCTCTTCCATGCTTAGTTTTGGATTTCTTATTGCAGCGTATTTGCCAAGGGGCTGGCATCTTCAACTATCATTACCTGAAAACAAGAGGAGAGAACATCTTCTGTAATGCTCATGGATAAGGTAATTAGCTTGCAAGGCAGAAACAGTACAAAGAATAATCGTTTTGACTGCTTTTATTTTGCAGTTCAGGAACCACATACTAGTGAATTTATTTAATTTTCACTGTTCTGTACCTTTCGAAAGGCTAATGTGAGGCCATTGTCCTTGATTATAGATCCTGAAGCTTTCACAAACTCTCAGTTCACTTTCACTGTTTACCTTGAATTGTAATTCTACCTTACATTACTGAAGTTTTATCTTGGGGCATAAGGAGACACTGTAACCCTGGAAGCATGTTCTAAGAATAGTTAGAGTGCACCCTATGGGCATCCTCTCATTCCAGGAAGAACTTTATTTCATTATTATTTGTTTCATCAAATAACACCGATTGGAAAATTATCTGCTGAGGAACACAAGAGAAAAGAGAGATAAAGGTACTAAAGAGCTCTAGCCTCAGGAGGTTAGTGTTAATATGAGGATAAAATGATGAAATCCATTTGTGGGTCCTGAGGGGCGGGTAGGGGAAGTTCCTAAATCACTGTCCATCATATTTGAAAATCATGGCAGTCAAGTGAAATTCCTGATGTCAAGCTGTGTGGGTTGGATGATACACTGCCTTCCAGTATCTGAAGGGAGCCTACAGGGATGCCAGAGAGGGACTCTTCATCAAGGACTGTAGTGATAGGACAAGGGGCAATGGGTTTAAACTTAAACAAGGGAAGTTCAGGTTAAATTTAAGGAAAAAGGTTGTTGCTGTGAGGGTGGGGAGGCACTGGAACAGGCTGCCTGAAGAAGTGGAGAATATTCCATCCCTGGCAGTCTTCAAGGCCAGTTTGGACACAGCCTTGGTCAACCTGGTCTAGTGTGAGGTGTCCCTGCCCATGGCAGAGGGTTGGAACTAGATGATCATAAGGTCCTTTCCAACCCAAACCATAGAATAATAGAAACATAGAATTAGTTATATCCAATCAAAACTTCCCCTGTTTATGTTTTAACCCATTACCCCTTGTCCTATCACTACAGCCCCTAATGAATAGTCCCTCCCCAGCATCCCTATAGGACCCCTTCAGATACTGGAAGGCTGCTATGAGATCTCCACGCAGCCTTCTCTTCTCCAGGCTGAACAGCCCCAACTTTCTCAGCCTATCTTCATATGGGAGGTGCTCCAGTCCCCGATCATCCTCATGGCCCTCCTCTGAACTTGTTCCAACAGATCCATGTCCTTTTTATGTTGAGGACACCAGAACTGCACGCAATACTGCAAGTGAGGACTCACAAGAGCAGAATAAAGGGGCAGGATCACCTCCTTCGACCTGCTGGTCACACTCCTTTTGATGCAGCCCAGGATACGGTTGGCTTTCTGGGCTGCAAGCGCACACTGCTGGCTCCTGTTCATTTTCTCATTGACCAGCACCCCCAAGTCCTTCTCCGCTCTGAATCTCTTCTCTGCCCAGCCTGTAGCTGTGCCTGGGATTGCTCCAACCCAGGTGTAGGACCTTGCACTTGTCATGGTTAAAGTGCATGAGGTTGGCATCTGCCCACCTCACAAGCATGTCAAGGTCCCTCTGAATGGCATTCCTTCCCTCCAGCGTATCAACCGAGCCACACAGCTTGGTGTCATTGTCAAACTTGCTGAGGGCACACTCAATCCCACTGTCCATGTCACAAAGATGTTGAACAAGACCAGTCCCAACACCAATCCCTGAGGGACACCACTCATTACTGGTCTCCAGCTGGACACTGAGCCGTTGACCACAACTCTTTGAGTGCGGCCATCCAGCCAGTTATTTATCCACCGAGTGGTGCATTCGTCAAATTGCTGTCTCTCCAATTTAAAGGCAAGGATGTCATGTGGGACAGTGTCAAGCACCTTGCACAAGTCCAGGTAGATGACATCAACTGCTCTACCACTGTCCATCAGTTCCATAGCCCTATCATAAAAGGCTACCAAATTGATCAGGCAGGATTTCCCCTTAGTGAAGCCATGCTGGCTGCCACCAAGCACCTTGTTGTTTTTCATGTGCCTTAGCATGCCTTCCAGGAGAATCTGCTCCAAGATTTTGCCAGGCACAGAGGTGAGACTGACTGGTCTGCAATTCCCTGGGTCATCCATTGTCCCCTTCTTGAAAATGGGGGTTATATTTCCCTTTTTCCTGTCATCAGGAACTTCACCTGACTGCCATGATTTTTCAAATACGATGGCCAGCGGCTTAGCAACTTCATTCGCCAGCTCCTTCAGGACCCGCGGATGGATTTCATCAGGACCCATGGACTTGTGCACGTTCAGATTTTTAAGATGGTCTCGAACCAGATCCTCTCCTACAGTGGGCCCAAGGTCTTCATTCTCACAGTCTCTGTTTCTGCCTTCCAAGACTTGGGTGGTGTGATCAGAGCATTTGCCAGTGAAGACTGCGGTAAATAATTCACGAAGAACCTCAGCCTTCTCCAAACCCAGGGTAGCCAGTTCTCCTGATGGCTTCTGGAGAGGGCCCACGTTGTCCTTAGTCTGTCTTTTATTTGCAGTGTACCTATAGAATCCCTTCCTGTTATCTTTCACATCCCTAGCCAAGTTTAATTCTAACTGGGCCTTGGCTTTCCTAACCTGGTCCCTAGCTTCCCAGACACCCTCCCTGTATTCTTCTCAGGCCTCCTGTCCTTGCTTCCACCTTATATAAGCCTCTTTTTTTCCTCTGAGTTTCCTCAGTAACTCCTTATCCATCGAAGGAGGTCTCCTGGCCCTCCTGCTGCACTTCCTTCTACTTGGGACACAACACTCCTGAGTTTGTAGCAGCTGATCCTTGAATATCAACCAACAGTCTTGGGCCCCCCTGACCTTTAGGGCTGTAATTTTGTGACTCTATAAAGAAAAGCGCTTTAGCTGTTCCTAGAGACGAGCTTGCTGCTGCAGTAAATGATGCATGTTGATTATTAATCTCACTTGACCTCTGGGTAGGAGCCACTAGCATGCATAGGGATTGAGTTTTGAACACTCTGTCCTTGGAACACTTTTGCGTAAGAGTCCTGCAAACACAACTGTAAAAGCTTCCCACTCTGGTGCTCCCATGGCAGGATCCAGTTATGCTGGGAGCTGGGAAAAACAATGTAACTGCCTAGCTGCATGGATAAATCAGCCATGTGAATAAATCACACCGCTGTGGGGCTGAGGTCCTTAGGAATGGGGAAGGGAAATATGACTGCTGCGACTGCAGTGACTGTCTCGGTTCTTGGGTCCTGCTGACTCATAACGGTGCTTAGTTAAAACAACGAATTTTTCTGGTGCCTGTCTCAAAAGAAATTTATTTCTCCTTTCCTTCTCTAACTCCACGTACACTCCACATACTTCCAAAAGCCTTCCTCAAAATCCTACGAATTAAAGCCAAGTTCTCTGAGTAGATCAAAGCTCCTCCATGCAACACTGGCCAAAAACATCTGGTCACAAATTTATGTTGTTAAAACATGCATCAATGGTGAGTTTAAAATGAACAACCTGCCCTCCCCAAACTTTCTGAAAGGTTTGCTTTCCTCTATAAAGCATATATATCTGGTTCAGCAATCCTGAACAATTTATAATTACATGTGCTCTTTTCCAGCTTTTCTGGGGGCAACTCAGTTTCCTAGTTGATCAAATAACTAAGGAAGTGTGATGAGAATTAAAGATTAAAAGATGTCAAACCATCTTTAAAGATTAAACGCTTTTCTCATTCCAATGGCACTTTCTCTAACCACAGGAGCACTGTGGGAACATGGTAGCAAAGTTAAATATTAATTTGCCAGAGGTGTTCAAGCGTGATTACCTAGTCCCCTGTGTTTTGCTGATGGATGCCACACACAGGTGGCTCCTTTTATGTCTCACTTTGTCCCTTTAAGAAAAAACATGTCACCTTGGTCTGGGAGGGAGGAATTATAGGAGCTACTACTTCTAGAGCCTCCTGGCTCTGTTTCTGCTTTTCATGGCTATGTGAAATGTTGGCAGAAACACCCTCTAGTGATTGTAGGTGTTCAGAGATCCTATCAGGACACAGCATGCTGGAAACTTGAGCAGAACTCTGTATTAATACTCCTTGGGCAGCTGGGCTAGTTTAAAATTACCTCATGCTTTTTGTGCCTCATCTGGGATATTTAATTTTTTTATTTTATTTTTAATGTGGGTATTCAGAGCTTTGTCTCTGAGCCAGGAGGCACAAATATTTAGGTGGGTACTGCTCAAAGGGAGTGAGAATTTAAAATGCAGCAGTTCCAGAGGGAATGTGAACGCGAAGCTATGCCAGTAGTGATCAAAACCAATGGCTACCATTTTTCCTCAGATGAAGTCTCAATGACAAATGAGATAAATATATGTTCCTGTAAAGCAGGATACATAAATACATAATGCAGTTGACAGGTTGTAATTTGTAGAGGTAACTTGCATGCATGATATCCAACCTGAACTTTGATGTCTAGTATGGATAACCTGGTAGCTAAAGGGAATTTGAGCATTTAAAGTGGCAATGCTACTTACGACTAGTATAATTTTCACAATCTGTAGTTTTCATGAAAGTACAAAGGTAAAGTTCAAATTATTTTCTTAACACCATGTTTTGCATATTTTTTAATTCTCTATTTCAGATCTCTTATAGGAAATATTTTTCACAAATAAGTGACTCTGGATGAGACCATTTAAAAAGAAAAAGAAGAAAAAACAGTTAAAACTTCTATACTTTGAGAGATGTCACATTAGCAAAACTTTTGACCAAACTCTGAATTAAGTCCATCAATAGGTACAGCCTAAGAATCAAAGGATAAGAGATTCAGTTTTCAGAACCAAGATGTGTAACTTCACTGTAGTTATGTTAGCCAAATTTACGTCTGCTGAAAATAGGCAAGAAGGTAGCAATCTGAGAACAAAATCTTTCAAACAGCTTCTGCCTGTCCCTTTGCTGCCCCCTTCCCACTCCTTCCACCAAGCCAATAGCAATATTCCCCTTAGCTTTGACAATGCACTGATTTTGTTCAGTGGAGTCACAATGTTGAAGCTTTTATTAATTTCCTCATTCAGGACTATGTCTTCCTTAAATAAATAAATTTTGACTGAGGCACGAATCATGCTAGTTCTCAGCAAAGTTTTCCTGCAAGAGGACTGGAGTACCTCTCCTATGAAGGCAGGCTGAGAGATTTGGACATGTTCAGCCTGGAGAAAAGGCTCCAGGGAAACTTTATAGGAGCTTCCAGCACCTAAAGGGGGCCTACATAAAGAGTGCTGGAGAGAGGCTTTTTACAAGGGCATGTAGTGACAAGGGGGAATGGCTTTAAACTGGAAGAGGTGAGATTTAGAATGGATATTAGGAAGGAATTCTTTACTGTGGGGGTAGTGAGGCACTGGCACAGGTTGCCCAGAGAAGCTGTGGCTGCCCCACCCCTGGCAGTGTTCAAGGCCAATTTGGATGGGGTTTTGAGCAACCTGGTGTAGTGGAACGTGTCCCTGCCCATGGCAGGGCCGCTGGAACAAGATGATCTTTAAAAGTCCCTTCCAACCCAAACCATTCTATGATTCTATGCTTAAACAGTCTCCTCTACAGATCTTCCTGTATAATAGCAAAAGGAGAAGATTTTTTTTGTGCCATGTGTAAGAAATTTACTGCTGTTACAATCCAGGCAGTGATGAAAACAATTTGAGGATATGCCTAATCTCTGCCACTATGGTTCCCTCATTTTGCTGTTTTGATTCTACGGAACCTGGGCCACATTAACTAATGCAGGAAAGTGTCTTAGAGAGAAAACAGAATGACTTGAGAGCACAAACAGCCATAATGACCCTAAATCCTTTGCAGTCTTACGTTTACCTCCTACCTGTATGCACAAAGAGCATCAGAAAGGAACTTGTAGACCGACACCTGAGAAGTTAAAGAAAATAATTGCTCCACACACAGGTAATTCTCAATAGCTAATTTTTTAGTCAAGCCACTGCCAGAAATCACACATAAAAGTGAAGGAAGAAGGGACATCTTGATAGTAGTTGAAAACCAGAGCTGAAATTAAAACCAGTTCTTCCACAAATTGGTGTAGGACTGGTTTGTTAGGGCAGGATTGCTCACTTTCCATCCTTTAGGGACTTACAGCTTCATGAGTGATTGCCTCCTTTAGGAGTTAATTAACCTTTGCTAAATGTTTCTACAAGGCTTGGCCAGGAGTTTTGGAAGCGTGACATTCTCAGCTTTTAATTCAAGAAAACTGATAAATAAATCAGAGGATCTCTCTTAGATACCACATATTGCTCCATTCAGCAGATTCCCTTCTAAACTGAGGGCATTCAAAAGTCATCTGCTATCAAAGATGCTGGAACATGCTGGACATCAAGCATATTCCTTAATATTATTTCAGATAATTTCATGGCTTTTTCTTTACGTGATTATTGTCTACCACCACATAATGTTTAATAATGAAAGTCTGCTATGCCATCAATGAACACAGCAAATCAAACCAGGCAATAAAAGTGATTAACTGGAGGCCATGATTGCAGGTAGGCAATGGGGATATGCAGGGAGATCAGATGCTGAGAGCACTCTGTTTGTTTGATGCAGCAGAAAGGCTAAGCCCTGGCCCCCAGAAAAGATGAAGCTTCAAATGCTCCATGCCTGGCAGTGTTCAAGGCCAGGCTGGACAGAACCTTGGGTGACATGGTTTAGTGTAAGGTGTCCCTGCCCACAGCAGGGGGGTTGGAACTTGATCATCTTAAGGTCCTTTCCAACACAAACCAGTATGTGATTCTGTGATTCTGTAAAGCCCCAATAGTTTCTTGTTTCAGTCAGAAAATTAATGACAATAAGGATGACATTTAAAAACAAAATCTAGCATATTTTAATTATGTTTATATTAGAAAGCAATTTTTAAAGTCATGAGCAATCTCTTCTTTTCTCCATGTACAGTGTGGGTAATTCTCTCCCACATGTAACAGATTAACTTAAAATAAAAACTCCTCCAACCATGGACATTTATATTAATCAAAAATGTGTAATGATGTGTAGTCTTCAAAACATGCTGAGCATGAGCATCAACAGGTCCTAAAGCGGCAGATTATACTGCTGAACATTTTCCAGTGAGAAGGGAGATAAAGCAAACAAATCAAGTTATACATTATGAAGGAAAAGCATAAAATAAAACACCGTTAGCAATAACAATAATGAAACCAACAAAAAATCCACTTTGATCTCCCCTGAAGAAAACATATCCCACTCAATAGGAAACAAGTATATTTTCTTTTGGTTTCTGAATTTTATGTTTATAATAATTTTCAGTGAATTAATGCTTCACATGCTCCAAATTCATTACTGTGCTCAGAGGATGGATTTCCCTTAGGAGAAACAGAGGTATTTGAGAGAAAAGCTACTGCAGTCCAAATATAAGAAAAGTATTTTAAAGAGAAGGTATCAGCTTACCAGAGGGTGGGTGATATGCTTGCTTCCCTTAGCAGGAAGGCTACTGTGATCGAACAGTGACTCTCTAGCTGCTGCTCTAAATAAGCACACATTTGTTTCACCAGGGTGGGTGGGTGGATGGATTAACACTAACTTGAATAGCCTCTTCTCTCACTTTCAGTTCAGCCTTGCCTTTAGTTGCTGCTTTTATTGCAGTAGCATGAATACTAAAATCAATGAGAGCTTTCAAGAAAGAAGATCCCAGACACTCCTGGAATGTGGTTTCTCCAAACAGCCTCGACTGAGGTCATTAGCAGTCAGAAGCATCAGCTTAAATATCTGCTGCTCTCTTTTCCTTAGAAAGTTGTGACAGAAATAAGACAAAAGGAATTTTTTTTGGAAAAAAGTATCTTTCATCTGTGCATCAGTGAAACCTAGAGCATTTTCCTAGATGTTAATGTGAAACAAATGCAGTCTAATTCCTCGTTAGTTTAAAAAGTCACAATGAGACTTCTTACTAATACTGTACACAAAGAATACATCTATCCTCATGGTGAATTGGACAAAACAAGGATTTTCACTTGGGGAGACTAGTAAAGAGTGGTAGTTAACTGAAAATCATAGGTATTATTTAATTTCAAACAACCCAATATTTTGTTTACTTTAAAATATACAATTTCTTTGAAATTTAATCTACTTATTGTTAAATATTTATCAACTCAGTTATTTTTCTGAACTGGAGAATTATGTATCTGTGGCTTTTCTAATTTATGGCAAAATAATATACAAACCAGGCTAATCTGGTGTTAAGATCTTATTTTAAATAAATAAACTTTAAAATAATATTTATGACAACAAATAAGCAAAGAAAGAAATTACATACCCAGCGTAATCAGCTTTGTCTTCTAAAACAATGTGTTGCCCTTACTATGAAGTACTTTTGGAAAGCCAGTATGGTATACAGCACACTGTTTCCAAAACAAGTAAACATCCAGAAAATAAAGCTTTCTCGGCAGAGCAAAAAGTTAATGAATTCAAGAGCACTAACCTGTGATTTTCCTTTTCCATGAATGACAAGGCTAAATAGAAAGGCAAAAATTCGTACTTACGTGTCAAAGAGCATCTGGAAGAAGCTGATCCAGCAAGTCAAGTTTTAAGTCACGGGACTGAGTAGAGGCACTAGATAACAGGACTTCATCAGAATGGGCTACTAAACCATGTAGGAAAGTGAAATAATTGAATTCAAGAACAAATATCCCTCCAGTTAGTCTCAGTAATCCAACTTGAAAACAAGCAGGAAAGCTGCATCATATCGCACGTTCCATACTGTAACCCTCAGTGACCCAAATGAATAATAGAAACAGCCCAAGTCTTTCTACTGAAAGTCAGTGCTCCTCCTATTTCTTCCTTTTAAAGTAACATCTTGTAAAAACACGCTTTCCTTCATAGAATGAGACAGGTCTACAGTTAATGTTTACACAGAAATGGCTGCCCTTTTTTAAAACACTATTCAATAACAGGTATGACAAGTATTTTGAATAAATAGCTTCCAAGTTGCTTTAGTTTTATCTGTGAAGGATGGTTATTTATTCCTGAGAGCTCTTTAAGTCTGCCTGAAAAGATTGCACAACTCCAGCTGCCTGCAAGACTGTGGTTACGTACTCTATAATATATCAAGAACATTTTGGCAACAGAATTGTTTTGCAGGGATGCTGGTCTCTGCTGGAAGAACAGACAGGCTGAGAACAATGTTCCTTAATCAGGACCTCTGTCATTTTAAAATCTTTTTCTTTGGTCAGGGCAGTGTTAAGAAACTATATTCTAAAAACTAGAATGCATATTTTCAAGGAAGTGTAACTACCTTCACTCTGAAATTCAAACTTGAATTTGTGCTGTTTCCAATTTGGGTCATGAAACTAGCTTTTTGATGGTGTGCTGTGCTGTGCTGACTGTCCTCAGACATTTGCCTCCTCTTGGAGCTTTAGTTCACCTTTATATTTTTCATATATCGTTCTACAGAACCAGCCTCAGCCCTTTAATTCTGTAAAGGCTGCATGCTGGAAGGTGAACCAAAATGTTTTCTTCATTAATATTACTTTGGTCTGACCTTGGTGGTTACGTCCTGCTTGACATTTCCCACAGATTTACAGTAACAGCACATAACTCAGCACTGAGCAATCACAAAGCATGCAGACTGCATGAAAACTTTCTTGATTACACCTATCTTGCATTTTACATATGTAGGATGGATACTGTAAAGAAGTGAATATGACTTCCTTTATAACATATGCTTCTTATTCATTTTTACAGTCTTGCAGAACTTGGCTAGCACTTCTGCAGTGACGATTCTCCTGTGCCAGCTTACTGCTCATAGCAATTCTTCTGTGTGTTACAGCTACACAAACAGGCATTTGCTTATGGAACAGCAAAGTGAGGTATGCTTGCCTGAATAAGCGCGTGACATTTTCTGGTTTATTGCTTATACTTTCATAACTGTTCAGGAAGGTTTTCCGTACTCTGCACTGGAAACAAGAGTACCTCAATTATTTCCAGAGCCCTCTTCATTCATACCATTTTCTATATGCAGCAAACAGTTCAGCTGCACATCTGCCAAGTCCTCCCCTCCCTCCTGTTCCTTACCACTGCTGGCTGCATCTTACAGCTCAGCCAGCACAGGGTCCTGCAGTCCTCATCTATAATAGATGCACTTACAATTAATCCCAAGTGCACAAAATACTGTGTATGTTGGAAGGTGTGTGTGGAAAACCAACCATCTTTTCAAAGATTAGCCTTCCCAAGTGCTTGCAACCCTTTCTCTCACAGACCAGGGTCCCATCTGCCACATTCACAGAACTGGCATGACATCAGCAGACATGCCAGACTTGGGCTTCCTGTCAGAGTTTTTCATGAACTGCATGACTGTGCTTGACTGTCCTCGCTGACCCTGGACTTGCTGCCACAGTCAAAATCAGTGCCGCGTGTTCCAGTTACACAGAAACTATGTTCCTCTTTCATAGCACTGGAGTTAAACAACAGAAGCAGCATCAGACTTTGATGTGTTGGCTCATGTGTCTGTCAGCTCCACACATCCTTCACACACCCTGTGTGGATCAGGCACACAGCCTCCATCTCCCCCACCCCATGGCTACCCCAAAGCTTCCTCCTTACCCTTCTTCTGTGCCCCTCAAGTCCCGAGTGTGGCTGTCACCTCCTCCATTTCACTCTTGAAGAAATGTGTGTGCCTAACATGTTGGAGAAGGCAGGTTTATGGATTCTACTCCTCTGTGGAGGGAGGTTCAGGGTCCAAGGAAAGAAGAGGGAGATTGGACTCACTTCTTCTGTTGAGTTGCCTCAAGGTTTCCTTGGAAAAGTGGGCTTTGGCTAGAAATATTTTACCTATGCTGTGTTCAGAAAAATTAAAACCCGTTTTTGTTTTTTCCTTTTTATTTTTTGTACTAGTTTTGAAGCCACCTGGGTAAGTCACTAATGCTTTCTGAAATGACCTGAAATAAACAGCACGTACCTTTTCCTCTCAGGTGGCCCCATTTCTGCAGCAACATGTTAACATCATCTTTCAGACAAAAACGGGTGGCAGAGATGTTGTCCAGAAGTTAGGCAGGTTAGACCCATTCACATCACTTCCAGCCTGGCAGGGCAGTGCATGCTTGATCTTTGTACATACCCAAACTACTGCTCATCATGTAAGTACTAAAAATAAAATTGAATTAGAAGTTTGATCCAGCAACATGAGATGAGAAGTATTTACAAAGATAAGGGAGTCATTAATTAACTAAGAAAATGTAAAAGAGGTATGAACTAAGGGTGCTTTTGTATAAGATGTATGTGGATCTCATCCTACTATGACTTCAAGAAGAGCTGAAGCGGTTATAACCAAATAATGTAAAGGGCTACAGCTGCATTCTTTCTAATATATCAGCTCATAGCAGAGCAAAGATGATCAGCACAATGCCCTTGGGCTCCTCTTCAGACTGACATTCTTCTTATGCAGTGATGTGAAGTGCTTGCCCTGGCAACAAAATGAGAAAACCAAACCAAAACAATAAAAAACCCCTATCAAAATGCAATGTAATCTTCTTCCCACGTTCCTCTCAACTCTGGTATCTGAAAAGGACTAACCGATACAGATGAAAGAAAATTCACTCTACACACAGCATACAAGCCCTGAAATACAGCACCTAGGGTCTTTGTCTCCTCTTTTGGAAAGACAAGGTGCAGGGAGAAAAACCAATACTCCAGGTTGAGTTGGGTCATCTCAATCCTGTGAGATGAAAGGAAGGATATCTATAAACAGAACATATGTAAACCAAGGAACATTTAATGTGGTTTTTTTCTGTGTCATGTGTAAACAAAATATTTTTATGAACTGAGTCAGCAAGTGTCTAGTGTTTGGCATTATGGCTGCACTCCAACTAATGAATTGGTAACCCACCAAATGCAGTCTAGATGAACTCAGTGTCATTTCTGAGACTCTACAAAGGCACAGTAAAGACAAAGCAGTACATATATAAAACTACTATACAGAAACAAGAATCACGTAAGAAATATTCACATGGTTTCATATAGAAAATAAATTTAAAGATGCAGTCTTAGAGAATTGGGAACAATGTCTGGATAAGGTTGAAGTCCTAGCTGTTTGTTATCTTTCAACTTTTGTATTATAATTCTGGCAAATTCCTCTCCTTGGCTATCTGAGGTATCAAGCAGCTGTCGTACTTTTGATGTCCTTGTAGGTTTGGTGCTTATAAGTTCATAGTCTTCTTTCATGAGTAAAAATCTTGCTAGAAGAGCATCCAGTGACTGATTCAAACACGCTTCAGTCATCTGATCAATAATTTCTTCTCTTTTGCTTTGGATCCATTGATGAGCTACATTCTGTTGTATGGTTTCCAAAACAAAAGCTGAGATTGGAGAGGATTAAAAAAGAAGTATTGTAACTGTCTGTCAATAAATAGTGCCATAGAAGAAAGACTAAGCTGAGAAAGAACTGTTTAACACTTGGTTTTTTGGTCAGAAATACACTAGACTATTAAACATGCTTTTAATCCACTATTATAATCCACATTTAAAATGTTCCGTTTTGTCAAATTTGGTGGTTGAAGTATTTATTTTATCTGAATCACAAAATAACTTAGGTCAGAAGGAACCCTCAAGGAGGTCTTCGGGTCTAATGGCCTGCTCAAGGTGGGGATAATTTCAAGCATAATTCAGGTTACTCAGTGCCTTGTCCAGCTGAGTTTTGTCCAGTCTCAAGTGATGGGACGTCTACAGACCCTGTGGGAACCTGTTCCAATGTTCAACCTGACCTTATACTAAAAAGAGAAAGGTGGCAACTTCACTTTGCAGTGGGATTTTTATTGAAGTATACTGAAAACATCCTTTTAGTTCCTGTGCATTTTCCTCAAATTGAGGATCACATAGTGAAAAGCTGTCAGGTTCTGTTGTTTCTAGAAGAGAGATGATGTGGCAGATCTTTATAAAGTTGCATGCTATTGTGTGGCCCATTAAAAAAAAATGAATCTCTGAATAATTCATCATGCACTGAAGTTTCTTTTTGTTATTTTTTTTTTTTGGAAGCACACTTCTAACAATTATTTGATGCATAGGAATATAATACAGTGGGCTGTCAGCTACACAGAAAATCATTAAGGGAATGATGCTGACACAGCTGCCGTTTCTCTTTGCCCCATAATTACTAAGGGGAGGATTGACAAGATTAAAAAATGAGAACTGACAAGAAACAAGATGACTTAAGATCAAACTAACTTTTTTTCTTGTTCTGCTGGATTGCAGCATTGCTACAGTAGTAGGAGAGAGGAGAAATAATATGAGGAAATGGAACGGGATAAGGAAGACTGATGGCAACATGAATTAAGTTTGCTTAAAAGGAATGAAAAAAGGTAGTAGCTACAGGTACATGTACTTGGTCACACTTTACATTGGTTTTACTTTGTAATGTAAGGCTACAAGGACAGAATTACTTGCACTGTTAATTTGTAGAATGCTTTGTTTTCATTTTACAGATGAACAATAGTTAAAGTTCCCATTCCATATACATATATACCTGATACTAGGACAGTTATTGTGGGTTTTGGAATTAAATCAGCGTTTGCTGTACCTGAAGGAACTGGCGATGACCGCAGCATACATGATGCAGGATTTGTGGCGTCTGAAATACTCTTGTCAGATGAAGGAGAACAACTGTATGGATGCACAAGAAGTTTGGCACTCTGAGTTACAGAGATATTTTCATCTGTGCTCTGACTGCTGAGAGACTGTAGACCACCAAAACTTCCATCTAAAAAAAGGAAATAAGAAACAACAAAAGAGCCAGCTGTATTACTTCTATGTTCAAATAAAATACAGCTGTTGGAGACTACTTAGAATAATACTTAGAATAATTCCATAAACCAAGTCATAACCTGAATTCACTTCAAAACTCCTTACACTCATGTTCTGGGTATATTTATGTCCCTTATCTTCTACCAGGGCTTGACCATGGGTTGGGAGGTTTTGTGTTATATTAGAAGACCCGATGCCAATATCTGTACCAGGTAGTTTTACAATGGAAAGCAAGACTGATATTCCTCATATTTTTAAATTTTATTTCTGCTGTAAACACTTCTGCTGTTGTAGGGCTTTGTAGACACTATTTTCATAAGCTTTACAGTATCTATACATACATACATCAAAGCCTAAGCAGTGACTCTATAAAAGGACCACCACCTGATCAGTCAGATTAACTGTACCACCACAGTCTCACTAATAACCTCCAGTAACCTCCACCGGCAGGTATGACAATTTTTAACAGGAACCAGGAGCAAGAAGGGCTGATGCTTATAATTATCTTATCTGATTACGCTTACAGTCCATGCTCATATTCAAGCTAATATTTAATTCTCTAAGATTCATCACAACATTCCTATTAAGCTTGGTAACCTCAAGTTTTTCTTAACCTTTAAGATTTTATACTATGTGTATAGATAAGTGCTTAGGTTGAGATACAGCAAAACTACACTACACTTGCTTTCTGCCATTTTTGCATTAACTGAAGTTCCTTAAGCCTCCCATGATTTATTTTCTCTGGAATTCCTGCTGTATTTATATCTTTCTAGTACACTGAATAGAAGCCCAGAATTATGGATGTGTTCAAAAAGGAACTGGAAAAGAAACTGCCTGTGCCCTCCTACCTCTACCAGAATATCTCCAGTTTTGCAGCACCTCAGCATGCTTTTTGATGCCCCACTTTATAGCAGTGAACTCAATTGTCTTGTCTGCTTTCACATCACTGGTCCTTGTGAAGCCAAAGGATACTCCATTCTTTTGAAATATATGTTTGCATTCTTTTGAAAGAAGAAACTTAAACGCAGTTTTAGTTTCACAATGTACTGCTATTCCATCTGGGTCCCATCACTTTTTTCTGGCTTCTGATGTCACAACCTCAAAATTGAATTCTGTCTGGGAATTTTTCCAAATTTTAATCAGAAAAGGTGACGGCTACAAAAGGTCTGTGCAGATATTTTTGCAAGGCAATCTATTTATTAAAGCTGTTTTGTTTACTGAATTAAAAATGATTGACTGATAGGTTGGGCTGCATTAGAAACTTTCTGTTTACTTGGCTTTAAGAGGCCCTCAAAATGCTTGGTCCTTTTTATCTTTAGAAGTACTTCACAAATTATTAACTAAACTGCCAAGAGTCTGAAGGGACAAGTAAATGCTATCTTTGCACTCACAAACCTGAAGACGAAAACTGAAGCTGGAAGCTGGGCACATTTCTCAAGTGACAAGAACAGAAAATCAGAGCTCAGGTATTCTAGCTTTTTACCCAGAGCACTAAATTTACAAAACACGTCTTTTCTGACATAAACGGAGATCCAACTTTCTACTGTGCAAATGTAATGTCACAGTGGGACTGTAAAGCTGCACTGGCAACTTAAATTTACACAAAGTCATGAGTATCTCTACCTGATGAGAGGATATTACACATGGGAACAGATTTGAGTCTTGATATATCTGGAGAGATGCTTCGAAGGGGAAGTGCATCACATTGAGTGGAGCCAGAATACGTTTCCTGAAATGATTCCAGTCAAATATTGAAAAGGCACATTACATAAATACAAAGTTGCAATTTTTTACAGAGTACTTTCCCACCACTGCATTTTCTGTGCTAAGTGCTCAACAGACAGCACAAACAAAATGCAGTAAACCAGAAGGAATTATGTAATCCTAATATTTGTGTTTTTCCAAAGCTGACACCAATTTTGTATGCAAGTTTAACTATCAGTAACAAGCAAAAGCATCAGCATTAAGAATCAAAATATAAAAGCAAATCTCTATGAGCCTATATAAGCAAACTGCGTAGGGGTGTAAGGGAGTACAAGACAATCTCTTACAAGTTACATTCTTTGTGTTCTGCGTTTCTCCTCAAGGGGATGGCTTTCCCACATTCAGAGGACATACCAAACATGCCCTTCTTATTTCTGCTTACCCACCTTTTACTATCTTTACCTACACGGCTATGCATTTGTTACAACCCGGCTCTACTAATGCATTTTATGCCTTTCCTAACTGCACAGGAAAGTAAGCTGCAGAACAATTCCCTCTTACTAAGCTGACCCCCGTTTTAAGCTCTCAGGATCTTTAATGATGCCGACATACCAAATGCAATATGTAAAATACTTACCTCATGGGGATTCAGAGGTATATTTAGTGATATCTGCTCCGCATCTGCTTGCTTTCCACTCTTGTAAATACATCGTGATTCATATAGTGACTGGAAAAGACATATTTACCTGTATTAAATTTCTGCTATAAGTCAAGATGACAGCTCTGTACAAACACATGCTTCAGCCAGATACAAGACTAGAGAAATGACAAAGGAGGTCACATTTCTTTTACCAAGCAGAAGTTACTGACTTATTTGACCAAATCATAACTGCACCGTCACTTACTTTTGATCTCTTTAACAGAATTACTGCTTCCAGCATAGCTATTTCATCAAATGTTCGAAGCACTGGCTCAAGGTCTATTAAGCATTCTAAACAAAGAAAGAATACTTTAATGAATGGTTCAAAGTGGAAATTAAGTTTTTAATTTGATAAAGCTACTTTTTTTATATTTACAAAAGTAATTTGTCTATTGATACATATCAAACCACTTATGCTACTAAAGAGAAGTTTCTTCCTTTTACCAGTTGCAACGTTTTCACATCACCAGAAGAAACCCTATCCTGATCTGGCCACCTTGGCATCCTATATCAAAAGAGACCCAGGACTGTGCCAGACTGCGAGTCTCACATTCCTGGAATGGATAGATGGGTGAGTTTGGTATGTTTCCAGATAGATCCAACAAGTCTGACTGATTAACTAAATGGGACCAAACAGCTGTCCTCTCATTCCAACAAATGTGCTAAAGATTCATACGAGAAAAATAACAACAACCTCCCATCACAGCAATATCTAGAATAGATGACATGAGGCAGCGCCAGAGAAGATGAGATACTCAAGTCACTGACCTATGACATCCAGGAAATCCAAATGATATTGTCCTCATAGCCCCATGTCCCCAGCATAGGCAGCAAATCAAGGGAAACTAAAGTCATCTGCTCAGATAGGGAGGGATGTGACAGTTCAATGATCAGCTGTCAACCTGTGCTATACATCCTTTCTTTCCAATGCTTAAAGGTTTACAAAACTAGGTATTTCAAAATTTCAGATGAATGTATTGTAAAAATGTTTCTTTGAAACTGTGTGGAAATACAGCAAAACCTCTGGAAAGGATGATGGCATGTCACAATTCCACTGCATTTCTATGAACTCCACCGATTCAGCAAAGTCCATTAATCGTACTAGAAATCCATCACACTAATCCTTATTAACATATGCCTAGTTTTTACTATAATTTTACCACTGTTCTACCATATTAACTATTTTCCAAGACATACATTTAATACTGGGATTCTTACTGTTCCTGCATCAGCTAAAACAGTTTTAAAGGTTTGTCACTACATTTTCCACAATGAAATCTGTTAATCTTTGTTGATTATAATCAATAATGTAGGTATACATTCCAAGTACATGCAGAAACATAGTGATAAGTAGTCTTTACCCCTTATTTATAAGGGGAACAGACAGGTTCCCCTTAACAGAACCAAGGTTAACAGAACCAAGATTTTCTACTTAAAGTTTACTTAACTAAAACGGGGCTTGGTTGTTTTGTTCTTCCCCCAGCTCCTCCCTCCCCACCCCTCTGTGCTATGGTAATTGCAAAATTTCCCAATCAGCAAGCTTTACTTCCTTTAATTTTGCAACAATTCTGCTACTTCTACTTTCTTTTTATAATAGTAAAGTAGAGGAAAAAGCATTTTTTCTTCAAAGACCATCTTACACACACTTGGCACTAATAAAAGAACCGAAATTAGCTCGTAATGTAGAATATATCCCAGATAATTATCCCTTCATTGTGACTGCAGACTTTGATTGCTATTTTGTTTTGTTTAACTGGCACAGGAAAATAAGAATACATAAAGAAATACCATGATCTCTACTCTTTTTTTGATTTTAGGAAATATTGTAAATGGCTATATTTCCTTGCTTGGGAAAATAAAAAAATAAATTCACAATTTAAAATCACACAAGCCAGACTCAAGCCAACATAAAATAACATTTCAAAATATTCTTAATAAAAAAATAATTGCCTCAAAAAAAAGTCACATAATTTTGGACTGTAAATTGAACATGAAGATACTCTATGTGTTTGGATGTGTCCGTTTTTGTCCTTTCCCAAACTGATGCGAAAAGCTGGTTATGAACATTTCTTTCTAGCTATCTGAACAGCAATTTTCTAACACTTTCCAACTTGAAGTATGCCTATAAAGGCTTTCAAGTAAACAAACTTCTGTTCACCAATGAAACATTTAAGACTGTGGACCTCTCTATTTGTAACATAACAAAACTCCCCAGGAAACCAAAAGAAAACCCAAACCCAAAAAGCACCAGAAAAACCTAAAAATCCCCATGTACTTCAGGTCTGAGTATTGCACTTTCAATTTAAGCACCGAGAAACTTATAGAACTGCTTAAGCCAGAGCTCTTTGTACTGTCCTACCTTTGCATACATTCATTAGCTCTCTTATTCTATGTTTTTGTCTCTCCAAAGTGATCCAGCTTTCCCTACAGAATTAGGATTGTGTTTTCTAAAGGAGCAGGGAGGAAATTTTGAAAACACACACAAATTTAAACAAGCACTGCAAGGCAGCTGCAGGAACTACTGTTAGCTTCACTACATTGACATTAGTGATCACAGCAACACTCACAAGAGGAAATTTCACAGTTGAAAACAGGTAAGCAGTTTCTGCCAATTTTGATGGAATTACCTTTCCACAACAGCCAAAGAACAAAAAGTCACCACAAAAATAAGTGTGTTAAGGAGAAATTGCTGGGGGGGGGGGTGTGAATTTGGACTCAACATACACCAAGTATCTCAGTTAAGTGCAACAAACACAGGTTTGCAAAAATCAAAACTTTTTCAGTTCACGCTACAGCACTCTAATTTCTACAAACCTACACCTCAGTCTTTTTCTCTAAATCTGCAATCCACTGTAAAAAGGGCTGAAAGTATCTATATTTAGTGTCATGGAAAAAAAGCGGGACAAAGCAAGGGTGGTTAAGCGTGTGGGTTCAACCAGTTTCTGCTTGATCTGGGAGTGGAACAAAGATAAAGTCTCAATGAAAAAGATTTATACTGAGATGCAAATACAAGATGAAGTCACTATAGCTTATCTGATGTACAATGGGTTTTGGTGTGTTTGTCAGCTTGCTCATAAATCCCACAGTACTCATTCTACACTACTCCCCCCTTCGTAAAAAGTAAGATGTTCCCTTCAACAATAAATAAAAAAGCTAAGTGTAAGTAGTTACACAAAGCATGCTGCTTTTTTACAAGTAAATTAGAGATGGCAAATGCAAAACACTCCAGCTAAAAATTTGTTTTAATGGTACATGTGAAATTCCACTCATAAATTTTGTTTACAGACATGGTGGAAGCAAAAAAGTACCTTAGCATATGCAACAAGAATGAGCGCATGCATCTCTTGACATCTTGACAACTTCCCTTTTCTGACGATAACTTTGCTCTTTTAGTAACATGTTCAACAGAAAGCTGGCAATTAAAAATTCGTGATGTAAAGCAAACTCACTTAAGAATGATGGTCTTTCATCTGGGTTTTGTGCCCATCCACTTTCTATCAATTTTATGATGATCACTCGATGAGGAATGTCCATTGATAAACTTTCTTCACTTAAGTCTAGTCGCTGTCCTTGAGACACACTATACATTATCTGCAAGGGGTTTATAACTTCTGTCAAAATAGACATCGTGAAGTCATTAGAAATATATATAATATAAATAGCTTATTATAGGAAAAGTAATTTAGTTTGCAGACAGTGTATTTATAGTCACCAAAATAAGTTTATATTCCTCTTTTAATGAAGAAATATATTTTTAATTTATTATTGTAATTTAAAACATATACGGAAAAAGAGTCTAATATTAAAAGTAACTCAAAGTCCTTTTCAATAAGCTTAAAAGTTGAGTCATTAAAAAATAACTCCTAAAATGAAGTCCCCAGGTACCCATTTCTCAGGTTAAGCCTTATGTAAAATAAGTCTGGAAAATAAATAATAAATAAAAAAAAAGCAAGACATAGCCTTACCTTCAAATGGCTGTTTCCTTGACATCACTTCCCACATAATAATTGCATAGCTGTTTAAAGTATAAAATGTATAGAAGATGTTATTTCAGATTACCAACACGCTATGTGATTGGCTTTACATTTTACTAAAAATGTTCTCCTAAAATGATCCCAAATGCACACACAGGACTGACTATAGCTAACTACAGTGATGACCTGAATATACAAAAACTATCAGGAATTTTAAACAGTGACTTCAGCTAGAAACAGTTAATAATATTAAGAACAGAAAAGATACATGGCATATAATTTCCTATTAGTAATAGCTCTGCTCTACTAATATGTTGTGAATTACCTACACACAGTTTAAATCTCAGTATGCAAATTACAGTGAGTCCCAGAGTCCCAGCTGCTCTGTCTTAACTGCAGTACTGTGGCATCTCCACAGTCCGGATCAACTCTCTGTGACATTCCTATGGGAAGCAGGGTTCTACCAGGGAGGATGGGTTTGAAAAGTTTTTTAAATTTCTCTTAAAAAAAAATTGAAATCCATTTTCCACTGAAGCAATAAAAATAAAGCTATGAAAATATTTTTTTTCTGAAGAAGAATTACACTTATCAGAATGTTTGCTCACCCAGCTGTACACAAAGACAGTATTTTCCTGCATCACTAAAAAGTACCAAATTTTGCATTCAATTTACATTTAACTGCTTCTCAGCAATACATCATATAACAGCTACCAATCAGGGATAATAATAAGAAAAAAGAACGAAGTAACTGACGCTTAAAATCAATCAGATAAATTGAGCTTTCCTAACTGCTTATTTCTTTCACAACATAACATTCGTCAATGATAAAATTTATTCAAGTAAATTTTAATGAAAGCAGTTCTCCCTGTTAGAAAGCCTGCTTTTGATGCATTCCTGAGAAATTAATGCAGGCTGATTTTTCTGGCATGACAAATCGTTCCTTTTATAAATATTAATGCTGCTTGACTGTTGTTTAAATGACTTGTTTCTTTAAGAAAGATCTTTACTCACAAATTAGCTTCAATGTCTCGACAACATTCGGCTGTTATCTTCCGTGGTCAGTTAATCAGACATGAAGCCTTTCATTCAGTTTGGTATCTCTCTACAGGCTATTTTTTTCAGTTCTACAACACTGTAGCATAACACTTCCTGCTGAATCTCCTTTACACTATTCAGGTTTTCCTTTCCTAATTCTGCTTCATAGCATCTCTTTCTGATCCTGAGCACAGACCTTCCTCTGTGACCTTTCTGGTGGTCATTTCTCTCACTGTTTTTCTACCTTCATGTCTTCCTGCCTTGAACTGCCATCACTCATGATATTGTCTCAAGTTTCTTTTCTGTCTTTTCAAACAATCCCTTCCTAATTTATCATTTTTCTAAGCCCTTCTTTGAATATTTTCTTTCTTATTTTCTCCCATTTGGTTGTTATTCCTCTGCACATTTTTTTAGTTCTAAGAAACATCTGCCTTCCTCATCTGCACTCATTAAACCTCCAGTCACTCTTTTTTTCCCCATAATATGCCATTATTCCTTTCCAGTGTCTTCCTAGTCCAGCTTTTGTTAGGAAAGGATGAAGAAAGCAGGTATGTTACCCTGCCCCTTTACTCTGCTCTCGTGAGACCTCACATGGAGTATTGTGTGCAGTTCTGGTGTCCTCAACATAAAAAGGACATGGATCTGTTGGAACAAGTCCAGAGGAGGGCCACCAGAATGATCAGGGGACTGGAGCACCTCCCAAATGAAGATCAGCTGAGAAAGTTGGGGCTGTTCAGCCTGGAGAAGAGAAGGCTGCGTGGAGACCTCATAGCAGCCTTCCAGTATCTGAAGGGGGCATATAGGGATGCTGGGGATGGACTCTTCATTAGGGACTGTAGTGATAGACAAGGGGTAATGGGTTCAAACTTAAACAGGGGAAGTTCAGATTGGATATAAGGAAGAAATTCTTTCCTTTTAGGGTGGTGAGGCACTGGAATAGGTTGCCCAGGGAGGTTGTGAATGTTCCATCCCTGGCAGTGTTCAAGGCCAGGCTGGACGAGGCCTTGGGTGATATGGTTTAGAGCGAGGTGTCCCTGCCCATGGCAGGGGGGTTGGAACTTGATGATCTTAAGGTCCTTTCCAACCCTAACTATTCTATGATTCTATGATCTCTATTCTTTAGACAGGAAAGTCAAAGAACTTTATGTGCCCCGTAAGCATAAGAAATAATTAAGGGAAGTACTGGTCTCCCTGCAAGTCAGTAAGACCCTGTGAGACTGATTCATCTTTCACCAAAATACAGTTATACTTCTAATATCCTAAGAGCAACTGCTGTTTCATTAGAAGGGTTGCCACTACTCTACTATTTCCTATTCTATTACTTCTACTACTCAGAAGTGACTAACACAAATCTACCTGAACTTTCATAAAATAAGCTATTCCTTTAGGAAATCTCTCTAACTATGTTCTCAACCTCATTACCTTTTTTTTTTTTCCTAACCCCTTTAAAAAAATGTTTTCTTCTTTCCCTTGAGTACATTCTGCAAATTATGTTAATTGACCCACTCAAATTACAAAGGTATGTGCAATGAGATAATGGCATGAACAGCTTTTTTCCTTCCCTACACTGTCTGTATGTGTACCCTCATTTATAGAAACCAGTCTTCCCTGTTTCTGTAGTTCTAGCTTGATTTCTGGAGCATTACACTTGTCACAGTGTTTCCTAAAGAAACAATGAGTCATTAAATCCAGCTACCATTACTTTTTTCCCAATTCAATTTGCTTATACACCTATGATACTACTACTACTGAAAATAATAAAATTGCTGAAAATATGTTAAAATATAGGTTCATTAAATCAAATTTGAATTCAAATTGCAAAGCCTACTTGAGAACTACATGAGTTACCTGTAGATATCGTGTTTTACACTTGCACGGGTTTTCTGACTGGGATTGTAATCTTCAGGTGGCATATAGATAATTGTCCCTCCTTCTGGTAAAGAGGTTTCACTTCGTGATTGTGACATGGATATGACACGCCATTTTGACATGCCAAAATCTGCAATCTGGAAAGGACAGATCAGTTGTTCTGAGAAGAAAAATGGCATTTATCTGCTGACAGCTATAAGAAATTCCTGAAATATGCCCAAAAGAACAGGTCACTTAAAGTCCTTAAATTGACACACAGAAAGTATGAGGTTATCCTAGCAACAGGAAACATCAGCTCCAGTTCAGAAAGCATTCCAAGGTCATGATGCATGATATTCCTGTAACACTGCCCTACCCTGTGGTTCTTTAAGGAAAGACTCATATACACTACAGCCAGGGAATTTGCTATGGAAGTATGTCCCATATGAAGAAAATCACTTTCTTTGGTCAAAACAAAAAAAAAGAAAAAAAGGCAGACAAAAAACCCCCACACTGAGTACTTCCAGCTCCCTGGTTGTGAAAAAGCACAAATTTAGTATAAATTGTAATGGCTGTATGTAACAGCTTGCAGATAGCCCAAGACAGTTGCGCTCACAGAAAAATTTTAGGGCACTCCACCTCACCCCCAAAAGTGAAATCCTTGGATTAATAGAATTACTAGATTAAATATTAATAGATTAATACATTAATAGATTTGACATTCTGATATTCTGTGCTGCAAAAAGTTGCTGAATATTTTTATTGTACAGTCTGGGGCCTTGCCCTTCCTACAGAGTTTACAGTACATCTACATAAAGAATTAACTCACATTAGTTTACGTTCCCAGATATCCACAAATCAGGGTGCAAGATCAGACTAGGTTACGGGTACGGGGACAAACAGCCAGCAGAATACACTTGCTGGCTGAGCTGAAGAGTGTATGGCGTACAAGAGAGAAAGATAAGCAGCCAGCTACGAGCTCTGCACTTGTCCAGCATTTGCCTAAGAGCAAAAACATTCTCAACAAAGATGCCTGTGCAAGCACTGTGGCAGCAAAGGTAACAGAAATAAGCTTTCTGGAGAGCACGCAGTCAAAATCCACAGTAAAAAATAACCTTGCTTTCCCTACAACTTACTCTCATGAAGCCTTCCTCACTGCCTGTTATCGTGCTCATTCAGCAGACCTGGGACAGTCAGCAGCACTCTATGAATGGTGTTACTGTTATACATATGCATTCTATTTTGCATGCATTGCATGCCAATTCCTTGTATTTCCTGCCCTCATTTGGAGAATCTTGCTTATCACCCCCAAACACTCAAAAACTGTAACAGCAGTCTTCCAGACTCCTTACAGGAGGTAGGGCAGGTATTCAAGAGTTAAACTCTTCCCTTCAATTGCTCTAGCAAGCAACTGTGTAGATGTGGTTAAGCAAAGCACCAGACCATACCAATGCTGTTAGGGATTAAAAAAACCCGAGTAGATAAAAAATTACTTGCACCAGGTCCCCAATCAGGTTTAACAGGAAGCTCAAGAGATGGCAATACTAGCACAACTGAGTGGGAGGAGGTATGACCTCCTGAGGGTGTGAGCAGAGACAAAGCTGTGTAAGGCACCTTACTGCCAAGAAAAATGTTTTTGCAGTGGAGAAAGAAATCAGCACTGGATCTTTGATCTTTATCAAAGGACTCACAGAAAGATTAATCTCGTGGTAACAGATGACACATTTGTCATTCAAGTACAAATTAAGTACAAAAAAATCTCTTATTTCATGCTTACTTGAACAGCATATTCTATCAATTTAAAAAAACAGAGGATTAAAAAAACAAAAAATTCTTGCAGTTATGGAAGCACGCAATCATTTTGTCAGAAGTACTTTTAGTCTCTTTTTCACACCATGGCAGTGATATTTTAAATAAATGAATGTTACTTCTCTATGTATGCTTGCTTGCTTGCTCTAAGGAGTTTCACAAAAGCCATCTTCCCACATGTTCAGATTTCAAGGTTATCACAGGATCATACAACCAACTAGGCTGGAAAAGACCTTTAAGATCAAATCCAACCACTACCCTAGGACTGCCAAGACCACCACTAAAGCATATCACTGAGGGCCTTGTCTACGTATTTTTTGAACACTTAATGGTTTTGAGCACTTAAAGTTATGTTTTACATGTTCTTATGCTACTCTAACAGAACATAGAACCATAGAATAATTAGGGTTGGAAAGGACCTTAAGATTATGTAGTTCCAACCCTCCTGCCATGGGCAGCGACACCTCGCACCAAACCATGTCACCCAAGACTCCATCCAACATATATGTACATATCACATGATAATTATCAAATGGGGTATTAACATTTGAATTTGACCTACTGTCCTCCAGAACTAACTTGTCTGATCATCTTAGACAGGAACACTTTCTATTTTCTTCTCAGAAGGGGCCAGATGTAGCACAGCTGGGAGGTTGCCAATGACAGTGTCACTGCTATTGAGTATTGGCTACTGCTCTAGCAGAAAGAGCCTGAATTCTGGCTTTCTGGTCTTTTTAGATGGAGCATATCCACACCTGAGCAAAGCAGAGTTTTCAAAAGAAAAACTCAGAAGTTCTTTCTGCACGGCCAGAAGAAAGCGTCTGTCATACAATTACATCCCCTCTGTATGGCCACATCCTCACTCCTCCTCTTCTAAAATAATGAAAACACTTTAACTCAGTCTGAATGCTAAAGAACATAAGAATTATATAAATCTACCTTGACATGGAACTCATCATCCAGCAAAATATTCTGGGTTTTCAAGTCATGGTGCAGCAATGGAGGATTCATGTTGTGCAAATAGTTTACTCCCAAAGCAATTTCATAAAGAATGCGGAATCTCAGGCACCAGGGAATGTCAGGATATAGATCTTTCTGCCAAGAAACCACAAAACCAGAATATAATCCTCTGGTCTGATCTAACAGCACATCACAAAGACTTTTGTAAGAAGAAGAAAGTGACTTGGACAAGCAATAATCTTTTAAAATATATATTACATGAACTCCTGAGCATTAAGACTCGTTAGCTGTTAAAACAAATATATAAATGTTAATGATGCAGTGTTGTTTCTATTCCCTAACGTTCATGTAATAGCTCATGACTGCTATATGATGTAGGACATTTACTACATTATTCATTCATGTGGAAATAAGATTTACAAATGAACTCCAGTATGAACCACAGTTTATGAATACTACACAAAGGATGGCAAGAATCATATTTTCAACTGGCAGTGGGGAAGGGGGGAAAGCTGCAGTGAAACCAAGCACAAAATACTACCTTTATAAATATTAATACACCAAGAATAAGGCAGTAAACTGAAATCTTAAAAGTTACACTGCCACTAATGCCTTTAGGAAAAACAGCTGAGTATGAGATTCACATTGATTAAAGGTACAGAAGAAACTGCAGTAGCTTTACAGTATCAACACTAGATGCTCAGACCAAGCTAATGGGAGCAGCTGAGAGTTCAGCACAGGAGAACTTACTCCTGAGAGCAGGATCTGGTAGAAATATCTCTGCCTGTTTAGATTAGCAATATTTGACTTCTTTTAAGTAAAGTAAAAATCTTCAAATTTTTATTTTTTTTTTTTTAATAAGGATTCAAATTCAGGAAAATTCAAATTCAGGAAAAAAGCTCCTCTGTGTGACATTTACATTGGCAATAATTCTGAAACCCAGGCTGAAGGAAGCAGAATTATTTCAGCTTCTAATTAGACAACAACAGAGACTTTAAAGTGATAGTATATAATAATTAAACATGAAGCCAGTTATAGGTGATGACATCAAAGGAAAAAATTGTAATAAAACTGAATTCTGACGAATTTGGTTATCTTCTTGGGATGCAGAAAGGCTATCTGAGCACTAAAAACTACCAGTTAAAACAATTCTCCTTTAATTTGAAATATTACTAATTATACACTTTACTACTTCCTGTAAGTATGGAAATCACAGTCTTTGACACAACCAAGAACGGTATTTAAAGACTGTAAGTACACTTACCCCATGTAAAAGCTGGTTTAATGACCCGTTTGTCATGTATTCTGTTACTATCCCCAGAAATTCAGGCTCGTTGCAAATTCCCAAAATTGGCAGAATGTAACTAAACCTGGCTTTGTGTAGTATCTCTGCTTCTTTTAGAAGATGGTTTCTATCACTTAAAACAAACAAACAAACAAACAAACAACATTATCATAGCAATACTAGGAAAATTAAAGCAAATGTTGGGTTCCCTATATTCTCTTTAAAAGTATATACCTACATGTAGTACAACCACATTTCACCATTTGATTCCCACAATGCTGTTCTGATAAAAAGATACTGTAAGAACAATTAGAATCTGCAAACGCAAATACAAGATAGCTTCCCCGGTTTTGTTGTATCACTATTTCCATCAGACACTTAATTCATGATTCCAGTAAACAGTCAGAACTCTGACTTTCACCATCTTGTACAACCATAACAGTAATAACCAGCTACATTTGTCCTATTTCACTGCCCATCTTCAAACCTAAGTTTTCACTGAGGGCCAATATTTACCTTCTACAGAGCGGAGATTTTAGTATCACAGTTCCCCAACCATTTAAATTTAGTGGACACTGATGTGCACTAAAATAAAGGAATGCACCTTCTGTTACTGAAGGAAAGGAATGACCAGCTATGTTTTGTTTTCACATAAATTGGTCATTCAGTTATTCATGGATCAGTGAAGATACTTGGACCATGAAGGATAATCCTAATAAAAAACAATAATCAGATTTTGTACCAATAGAGACTGATACAGGTACAGGTATGTGATGAGGATATCCAAATACAGGACTTTTACAACATATCTAAGACTGATCCTTTGGATGTGAGCCAGACTGATTCAGAAGCAATACAGCTGTGCTGGGGCATGGCTGTGTACAAGCCAGGACTACGGCCATCACAATGTGCTCAGCACAGCGCCATGTTAATGCAGCTGTACAGTTCCCAGGTGAGAGCTGGCTTGTGTCCACCTAAGTCATGGCATACACTGAAGTGCTCATGTCAGTCTGGACCCATCAATGTAGATCTAGCCCTTACAAAGAAAAGAAAGGACATCAGAGTAAATGGGGAAAAGAAGCCTGGAGAAGTAAAGCCTCCTGCTTTTATGATAGGAAAATTTCAAATTTAGGTGGATGCGAAATTAAGGGCAACTGCTGGTCCTTATCTGTGTGATGGAAAAGGGCTTCTATTATAAGAAACTCTAGGTTATGACAGAAGTAAAAAGGTAGCCTTCATGAAATGTATGGGATAGAAGACACAACTATCCTTCTCCCTCTATCTAGCAAAGACTAGGTGTAAGAAAGCTAGGGGTTTTCCCAGACAGTGAGGCACAAATGCATGGGATTCAGCTGTAGCCAGGAAAGGAATTGCAACATATCGAGGTCTATTCCTGTGCCTGTAGGTCACTTCACCATTGTCTACTCCTTACCAGAAGGACATTGAGTAATTCCTAAATTAGCACAGGCCCACAATAACTATCCAACTCGCATTGCTCTTTGGCTGGTCACACACTGAGTTCTGGGATTCATGGCACAAGCTTCCTGTTTGGGGAATTAAGTACACTGTGAATGCTTCCCTTTTCTTGACAACATTTACAGGATGGCATTTTATGTTGCCTACTATACAATCAACTTTCTGCAGACACTTAGGTGTAACAGATTGCTCACAGCTTTTGGTCTTCTGATAGGACTTCCAAGCTTTGTATGATATATGGTAGGAAACTGAATTATTTTGATTACCTCAGTTGCCCTTTTCATCATGATTCTACCGGTTAGATGTCACACTAATCTAAGTTCCTGCAAGGCTAAAATAGCATTTGGTTTCTCCCACCTGAGTTCAGAGGATAAAAAAATGTATTTCTGATTAGCAGGGATTTAAGCAGGCATTTAAATTAAAGAAAAAACACCCAACAAAAATAGCCAACAATAAACTTGTCAGAGAACACAATATTCCTGGTTAAACACATAACTGAGATTCCATTTATTTCTGGCAAGATTTCAGAGATAAAGCCTGTGTGTACACACCTGGGGAATAAGAGGTCAAATAGCTTAAACCGATTATCTAGTCTAGCATACTGGGTCACAAGACTTGTTAGTGAAGCTATTCTGCCTAAATGCCCCATACTAGATCAAAGAAACCCGAGGCAGTAAATTTTAACAACAATTAGATAAGATACAAGAGGCAAGTTTACAAGTTGGGTAGGCTTCAGACAGCCTAGAAGGCAAATTTGCATTGACGGGATAAAAAACAGGCATTATAGGGAATAAACAGGTATGGATGGATGAAAAATTGTTACGTGCTGCCTCATAAATGGAGTAACAGCTCCTCTAATAAACACACTGTCACTTGGGCCCAGGAAAAATGGGAATGCAAATGGTGCAAGTTGAAGAGCTAATGGAAAATATCAGTTGCACTTGGAGCCTACAAGGCTGTTATTTTAAACTTGCTTCTCTCAGACCTCTTGAGATCTGGAGCAAGGAAAAATATCAGTTGTGTATCTCAGAGCAGCTTCTTCTAGGAGCTAGAAGCAATCTCTAGTGAACACAGATATATGCCTTACGTTCTCTCTCCCTCTGTAAACAAACCTGGAGTAATCAGTGTATTTTAATATCCTGCTGACACTTCAGCAAAATGGTTAGCAACCAACAGACCCAGACAGAAGCTGGACTGCGCAAATCCCACCTTCAGCATGAGCCGCGGTGCAGAAGGAAAAGCCTTCAAAACAGGCAAGCTGTTCAGCGTCTCACACGCAAGAGACCGAAACCGCCCATTTCCAACAATCGAAAGAGAGGAAGCTCCGGGGCTCCTCCGTGCTTTCCTTGGCTCAAGCTGAAATCACACTTCGTGGGATCTCATTTGCCCTTGGATTTACAGGAGCGCCGCCGACCGAGACACACACTCTCCGATCCATCAACCTGAGAAACCCAGCTTCATCCCACGGGACCCGCTCACAGAGCGTCCTGGCAACGCAAGAGCGCGGGACCCCCTTCCTGGCTTAGGGGAAAGGCGGGTTCAGCTCTGTCCTTCCCCCCCGAACCGCTCCCCACCCCCTGATGCCTCATCCCGCTGTCCCCCCCCTTCCCGTTACCTGTCCAGCAGCGGCCCCTGCAGGCATTTGAGAGCCACCGGGACCCTCCAGTCGGCGTGGCGGGCGGCGGACACGGTACCGTAAGCGCCACGGCTGATAAAACGCAAGTCTGGGAGTTTATTGGAAGGGATGGAGGGAAGGGCGTAACTGATGGCTTCCGCCCGGCCTCCACCATCGCCGCAGCTCATCCTCGCACTCCGCCGCCCGGGACGGCCGCGCCGTCTGTTCCCCGGGCGCAGGGGAGCCTGGAGGGACGCTCTTGCCTTTCTCCCCCGGCGCTCCTCCCGGGCCCGCCTCCCCTCCAGTTCGCCGAGCCCGCTCCTCCTTCGGCCCTACAGAGCCGCAACTTCCCTTCCTCGCAGAGAACAGCCTCCCACCAGCTCCCGGGAAGCGGGAGGCGGAGCCGCCACGATGAGTCTTGCGGGGAGGAGGAAGCCGGGAGGGAGCTGGTGGGGCGCGGTGCCTTGTCCCAGCCGACCCCCGGGAGAGCTGTGCCGGGGCAGCAGCCCGCTCCTTCGGAGAAGCCTGGGCACGGTGGCAGGGGGAACCAGCCCGGGCCACGGATGGAGCATCCCCCCATCCAGTCCGGGGGCTGTCGTGCTGGGGAGTATCCTCTTGTCCGGAGGATGGGGATAGGACAGTAGCACCCTGCTCTGTGCAGGAGGCGGGCGGGGGGTGTGTTATATCTGTTCCCGAAAGATGATGCGGGATACCAGGCCGAGTCCGGCCACCGCCCTTCGGAGCTACAGTCTGTGCGTTTCCGGGTGTACAGTCATTGCTCAGGTGAAGTGAGAGGAGCGTTAGCTCATGGATTCGCTTGTCTCCTCCCTGTCTGTCCTAGGAAGACTTTTTTCAGGATAGCAGGCGTTTCAAAAAGGTGATTTCGTAATTTCCAGAAAGTGCAAGTTCACCCTTGTCCCTGCTCAGAGTGAGTTGTGGGTCGGCTGATGTGTTTGTGGTAGCTTCATGCCAGGGTTACACAGGAAGGTTTAGCAAGGGTCGTTCACCATGCCAAGTTCTCATAGACTGTGAAAATGCTTTAATTTCAAGTTAGAAGTCTGTAACTTTCCCCAAGGAGTGACAGTTCTGCAGGCTGAAATGGAGGTAAATAGAGAAAATCTTTCGCCTTCCCGTGTGTGTAGATCTTGTGGCTTTTCACCTCCTCTTTTCTCCCAGTGATGATATGTGTAGTAGAGAAAGGGGAAGGAGCTAAGCTTTCAGACTATGATACGTGCAGTATTTCACGTCGTGCATTTAAGGCATGGAATAGATTTTTCAGTTGTCTCAAGGTCCTAGTACTTTGGATAGCTTTGCTATGGGTTTTTATTTGTTTTTGTTTGTTTGCAAATTTCTTATATCTTAGGTGATTTATATCCTCCAAGTGCTCAGCATTACTAATGTACTGAGCAGCCATATAAAGCAAAAGACGCCTTAATCTAGTTTGAGTTTCATTTAGCCTTTGTTCTTCTCACACTAGGTGGTTTCCCAGAAGTGTAATTTTGATGGAGTGTTTGCAGTATGCAGGTTTTGGATATCTGTTTATGCATGTCCCTTTCTGTATTTACAATGTTGGTAGTGCAATTTGTTATACTGTTTCAGCTTTTATATATAAGAAAGATTTTGTTTATAATACTCAATAAGCATATACTGTGAGCATGTACTACAAGCCATTCTGTAAGCATGTACTTATGGTATTTCTCATTAAGAGATTAAGAATGTCACTATACTAAAAATTTTAAGATACTATACAAAAAATTATTTGCAGCTCTTGTTGCTATGTGCTGTGTTGATTTCATATATACTTACAGTTTTAAGTGTACTAACTTAAACCGCAAGAAAATTACTGTAATTCTAAAAAGTTACAGATTGGTAACACTGCTAAGACTATTATGAATGTCTTATTTAAATAATTGTTTCACTGTGAAGTGTAGAGCTGTGTGTTGTTATAACATGTAATTTAAAGTGTACTGTTAGATATCATCTAAAGAGCCCATCCATTTTCATTGATGTCAGTGGGTTTTGGGGTCAGTTTCTGCCAGTTTTGTGGAAGAAACATTGACATTTTCAGTGAAGTAGAGGAATACAGGATGAGTAACAGGAATAACTAGTTAGTTACTGCTTTCTAGAGACCTTTAGGAATTTTGCCTGAGTTTGAAAGCAAGCTTGCTAGTAAGGGTTGAGATGGAAGAGGAATGCTCCATTTTATCCAAGTTCTGTGGCTGTAGCACTGTCGTGAGCTCCGTGTTTTGTTAACATACTAAAACAGAAGTTCCAGAAAGATAAACAGATGACTTGGAGCTCCCAAAAGGGAAAGGGACTTTGGAGGGAAAAGTTACAGTAAATCATTACTGCTTCTGGAAACCCCCTTTTGTTTTATATTAGTGTATTAAAAGACATTCTCTCAAATGATCTAAGTGGCATTACAGCTGGCTTAAGGTTTCATTGTTGAAGTTATGTGACATAAACTGCAGTTAATATCAGTACAAATTAAAGCTTTGAAATATTCTGAGGATTGTAGTAAAACTGTTAACTGTTGTAAGACTTGACCATGACATGACATGAATGGCAGTATTATATGTGGTGTGCTGATTTTTAGATTAACTGCATAATTGACTTTAAATCAGTTCTATAATGGCATTCAGGAAAGCCATGTAAGAATACCTGCTGACTTTCTGTTTGCAGCTGTAAATTGGGTCATAGCATCATATCTAAGAGTTTTGTATTATACTCACTAATTATTATGTGCAATTGAGTTTCTTTTTAATCACTTGTAAACAGTGTTTGAGAAATACCTTCATGACTATGTTAGTGTAAGACCTAATTGTTTCAGGAGTTCATCGCAAGTGAAAAGATTTAAACTTTATTGGTTTCATTGTGCCCTGGTTTTGGCTGGGATAGAGTTAATTTTCTTCCTAGTTGCTGGATGTTTTTGCTTTAGTCTGAGAATGCACATTGTTACTAATTTTTACTTAAAATCCCTTTGGAATCTCTAAATCCCTTCTTCTAATGTGTGGAAAGTGACCTTCAGGAAAAGTCAGTGGCAGATTTAAGGATAACCAGTAACTAAATGATGAACTCTGGTTAGTTTTTATGCCTTCAATTTGCTGATAATTGAGGAAAAAAAAAAAAAGAAAAAAAGTGCAGTTTCTTGTAAAACTCGGTGTACCTGTTTATCCAGCCACAGTGGCAGCTCAAACTTCACTCACAGAGGAAGTGCAGCTCCCTCATCAGTGAAGAGGACACAATGGGATTCCCAAAGGCGTGGTCCTTATGAGAAGGGTGATGGAGACAATGTGCAGGGAAACTGCCGGTGCCAGTGCTCATTTGTGTGTTCCTGCCTGGTGATATTAGTGGGATACAATAATTACCTGGAAGAAACTTGAGTATGCCTGTGTCTCAAAGCAGTGGCATTTTCTGCCACAGTTTCCTTCTTGATTATTTCTATTTGAATAATCCTGGGATAAAGAAAGAATACGGACCAGAATGTCAGAATCTAGGTCTCAGAGTCTGAGCACAGCACTGGGGAAGAGGTGTAGGGTTTTGATCCGGTTCCTGGGGCTGGCTTTGAGACCACATCCCAACAGCTTTGCTTGTTATTGCAGTGGCCTTTAGCAAAGCACAGACCCATTAAACTCTAACTTGAAAATTTGCAATTGACAATAGAGTAGATGCATAGTATACTAATAAAAAGAACTCTCAGAATATCTGATAATCATATTTTAATTTGTTATTTATGCAATAAACATTTTTTTTTGCCTAACAAAGTCTACGCTGTTTCTGATAGTGCTGCTGCTATGTTTGAAGGAACATGTGATGTAATCTGTAATTTATCCTCTCTCTTTGTGTCAGGTGATAGACTAGCAAGCTGTGCATTTCACATTGCTTGTTATCTAATGGAGATGAGTTAAAAAGTACTCTCCATACTCAAAGAGAAGTTTCAAAGTCCTTTATACCCGTGAGAAATAATTTCCAGCCCTGATAGTATCTGAAAGAAAACATCAGGTGTTTATGTTCTGGCTGAGATCGTGTTTTACCTGCTGCCACTCTGGCAATATAATGACACACTTGCTGAGGTCAACTGATAATGGGGGCTACAACACAGAAGCACCGTGGAAACCAACACCCTTTGCATCCATCTGTGTAGTCTCCTACCAGCCTTAACCAACCCCTCCTTGTCAGCATGTGCTACAGACTAGCTGGGCTGTTCCTGGACATCTGAATTCTTCTGGAAATGATTGGCTACTGTTTTAGATGACTGCTTGCACAATTTTTTGTGTTAAGACATCTGCATGAAAGTACTTGTATCCAGCTGTTACAGCATGTCAAACCCGGCCAACTGAATCAAGGGGCAGATACTAGGAGCTTTTCTAGCAGTTGGGAGGGAGGGAGGGAGAGTCAAAGCCCTTGGGAATACAACACTTTTGAGTCACCTGTGATTTTTATTTCCATGTTGTGCTACTGCTGGTGCCCATGTGGTGATGACACATCTTAATTATACTGCGAGGCTAAACTGGTGCTCTGTTGAAGATAAATGATATTTCCTTTCAGCACTAGCAGTTTAACCAAGCCACCCTAGGCTTGAATCATTTCAAATGTTTGTTTGCGGTTTTCACTGTGCTGCTTCTTTTCTCCTCTTGCTTGTGGGATGTGGGCAATTTTATGATGCCAGTCCTCTTCCTAGTCACCTGCTTTGCATGAACCCAGTGAAGCTTCCTGTGTGAAAGTAATGCAGAAGCGAAAACCCAGCAGAGAAAGAGGAAGGGAAAGTCTGGAAGTTTTTTATGGATTCTGCTTGAACACGGTAGCACAGTGGTACTTTTCTGTATCTTTCTCAACATGTGCTGTCCTGGATTTTCTGAGACCACATGAA